GTGGGTAGGAGTCAGTGCTAAGACACATATTAGCCAACATGTGGAGACAGGAATACTGAGTGACAGCAGTTCCCTCTGTGCCCCCATGGCTCAGGGAACATGGAGAAGTCAGAAAGAATGGAAAAACCAGGTTATAGGGAGGAGTGCAATGGGACTTGACATGTATGGCTACCATACTCTCTCACAGAAACAAATGTAGATATTAAAAGCCTATGTGCCACAGAAAGAGGACCATGTGTAGCTCTTTACTGGAGATTACAGTATGTCTGTTAAAGGGCAATCTAATACTAGTCTATGTTGGTATGCATGGAGAACATTATGCAGATGTATCAAAGGAGATAACTATATCCTGGTCCTCAGCTTAAGCCGTTTTCAAGGACACATTTTAATAAGAAAACAAAGAAATTGGAGTGTCTCTACTCCAAAGGGAATAGCCAGATAAAGAATAGCTTTGGAGCCCATGAGGAAAAACTGAAGATTACAGAGTTATTCTGAAGGGCCATTGTGTGCATACTCAGAACAAATTATGCACATTTAAGGGGAAGCTGACTTAAGCTACACAAAGAAACTCTCATGACCAAAGATGATCAGCAGTGCAATGAGTTGCTTGGGAAAGTGGAGTTCAGTTGTCATGGCTACATTTCTATGGCAACTACCATAGACATTTTGGGGGAGAGGAAATATGTACCCTATTTAGAAGGTTGGTCTAATTGACCCTTGAGGACCCTGGAAATGTGTCAGGGTCCATAGAGACAGCAGAGACAGCTCTGCTTCATCCTGGCTGAAGGTCAGAAAGTTCTAAACTGTCCTTACTCTTCCAAGATTAAAGTCATGAGACCTAAAGGTCTAAGGTGTGACTGCATTAGGATGTTTGGTCTTAGGCATGGATGTCTTATCTAAATAACAAGAGACTCAGTTTGATGTGTGGTTACTCTTAACCCTCAAGGCCAGATAAGGAGAGATTTAGTCTAAAGTGTATTCACTAAATGCTTGAATTAAGGAAGAAAGTCTGTTTGTTCCTTGTATAGGATAAAGAAGTCTTTTGCTATTTTCCCCTTTTTGGTTGGGGTTGAAGAATAAACTTGGGGTGTTCCGTTTTCACTGGGTTGCCTTCCTAACTCTGTCCTGTGTCTCTGTTTTTTCATTAACATCTTTACCTGCTGTTTCTCACTCCACATGCTCCCTGTCAGGACAGGCTCCAAAACTACACAGAGAAACTCTGTCTCAAAAAAACCAAATATATATGTATATATATTTGGCCTTCAGTCATTTTATTACCAATTTGCAGAAATGAAGTGTGTTTTAGGTCTATGGTATTAATTGTAAATATTTTTCTAGCTTGTGCTTTGTCTTTTGACATGAAATGTTTGACATGTAGGTGGCTTGCTGTTTTGTTGGCTTTTTATTTCAGTAATATTTATCACGTTGTTTTTCATTCCCTTAGAGCCTCCACACTTACCTCTATTACCTCAATGCAAAAGGTGAAGAGAAACTAATTCTTTGCATTAGTGTTTGAAATGAAAATGATTGTTCCCGAGAGTAATTTCCTAGTATCTTCTCTAGAGAATATCAGATAAAGGATCTGGATCATTCAATTCACGTTATACATGTTCTGTTAAGTGCTTTGCGTGGTTATGCCTACAGAGAAAGGCCTATAAATCTCTTTAACTCATAAGGAACTCACAGTCTAAGGGGAAGGGGGAGATACAGGAAAATCGGTGATCCAAAGCCACATCATTTGGATATGCCCAGCTGTCTCTAAGACATCTCTGCAAAACCACTTCACATCATTACCTTTGTTCCTGCCCCATTCCTGCCTCAACATATTCTAATGTGGCTTTGTGGTCATTCCATCTCTGAATCTTGACATTGGTCTAGATTTCTTCCTGTCTTCTCTCAGAGAGGCTGACTCCTCACTACATGCTTTCCATTCTTTTTTGTAGTCTTTGTCCCTCAGATATTTTATCACATTAAGAGGGTTATTTAACTTCTGTCCTAGGTGACATCACTTTGTGCACAACATTCACTATTCAGCATTCACCCTTCTATAACCCAGTGTCCAGTGGTGTAGTGGACAAAAGCCACACTCTAAAATCTCAAATTTGGTGAGCCCTTTAATAATTATAATAAATGTCCCTCATCTTGCCCCAAATGCCACCACACTGCTATGTTTATTACTGGCAGAAATGTTTCTTCTTTATGTATATCTTCCCATCTTTTTTCTCCCCTCCCCCAAATCTCTTCATTAATACCTCCAAGTTCTCTTTGTCTCAGGGTCTAAATGCAAGTCCCATCTGCTGTGAAACCTTGAAAAGTTACTCTAGTCCCAGATGTTCATCCGTTTCTGAAGTCCTTGTCATCCATCTGTGCTATCAGTTGGTACTTGAACACATCTGGAAGGGCTGCGTTAACAAAGTTGCACAAGTTGCCTGACTTAACCAATAGAAAGGTATCCTCTCACAGTCTGGAAGCTCAAACTCTGAGGCCAAGTAGCCCAAAATGCTGTGGGATAATCTTTCTGTACACTGTAAAGCTATGTCTCTGCCAAGGTGCCCTCTGGTTGTTTTAATAAAGATCTAGATGACCAATGGCTAGGCAGGAAAGGATATGTGGGATTTCAGGGAGAGAGAGAGAGAGGAGATGAATCTAGACACCAATGAGACTAGACCAAGTCACACATCAGAACGTGGGTTAATAGAAGCAAGTTAATTTAAGCTAGTTGGAAATAAACCTAAGCTAATTTCATAATAAGACATCTCCATGCCATTATTTTGGGGCTGGTGGTCCAAAGATAGTCTCACAAGAAAGCTTGCTACACCCAAGAAGTGTCGATTCCTTCTGGGGACTGCAAGGAGAGACACTTCCCAAATAGGAATGGGATCTGAACCCAGAAACCAGGGTTGGTTTTGACAGAGCCAAGACTTGTGTGTGTCTGGGGTGAGATGAGTTCACTTTGTCTCTCATGACTGACTGGTTGGGTTACCACAGAGGACTGGATAGGAAGCTTGGTTCCCCATCACAGAGCTTTCCTCCCCCCTTTGTGGGAGATTAGAAAGTCCTACCCAACATTTCTCACCAGTGGGAAAAGGCCATCAAGTGATTGTCTTGGGGAGGGAGAAGACATGAGAAGTCTATCCGAAAGGTTCAAGTGAAAGCTTACTAATGAACCTGCATAGTCCCTCGTCCCTGTCCCTGTCTGCCTGCCTCCTGGGGTGATGTCTCCTAGTCCCTCCATGGGTTTGGACCTGGCCCCAGCTGTTGGGGCTGTTTCAGAAGTTTGTAGACATTTAGGAAGTGAGACCTGCGTGGCAGAGCTGGGTCACTATGGGCAGGCCTAGGACTTCTTTCCTGTCCTGGTCTTTGCCTCCAGGCACAGCCACCATGTGAGGGCTTCCCCAACATGTTCCTGCTACTCCACCATGCCTCCTTCCTACCATGATAGACTGTTCCTTCTAACAGTGGAGCCAGCAATTACAAAAAGTAACTGTTAACAGCACATAACATTTGGAAGTCCAATTTTACTTTATTGTTCTCTTAAGCGCAGAAATTTTAAACCTTTAAGCACAGTTAGCCATCAGCATAACCTTAGCTGTCATACTCCAGTGACAAAGCTCATCCAACAATCCTTCTAATCCTTCTAATCCTTCTGAAACAGTTCCACTAACTGCTGGGGACCATGTTATTCAAATGTATGAGCAGATAGGGGTCTTCCTCTTTCAAATCACCACAACATTCCAGACCAACTCTAAATACAACACAGTTTTCAGTGAAATAACTTTTACATCTCGATTTCTGCCTCCAGCAATCTTGATTCCCCCAACTTTGGGTAAATCTCATTGGAGTACTTTCAGACTCCTGTTTGTGGTAATATTAGAAGTCTACAAATCCCAAAGAGCAGGCTCCCTTTCTATTGTGAGGGTATTTCTTTTTCTTCCAGCATACACAGTCATGCAGTTTACTTAAAGCGCTAGGATTTGGGGGGTGGGGTGGGGTGGAAGCAGCAGCATTTTGCTTTACCCTTTCTTCCTTCACTTTTTGTGACCTCAGACCTTGGAGATCTGCAGTGAACCTCTTTTTGGGTTATCAGAGTCCCTGGGAGCAAAGCTTAACTGTGGCTTTCAATCCCATTCACCCTTTGGATTTCTTCATTGAGTTTTGTTGTTACTTTTGGGGTATGGAAAACCTACAATTCTTGACTAGGTGGCCATTGCATAGTCATCTACTGATATTTATGGCTACTTTTCAAAAAAATTAAAATATGCTAACAAATATGGTATATTTGTAAGATGGTCTAAAAAATTCTCTACAGAATTCATTAGTTTCTTAGCTATTCTATTAAAAACGGACAAAGCACACAAAATGGAGATGTGAAAGTAATGGACAAATGGGCACAAAGCAATCCACTTCCCACTACACATTTACATGCTGTGCAACGACAAAGCACATGTTCAGAGTAAAGCTGGCTTCGTAAAGAATAGAAGCAGAAAACAAAACCAAACAGCTCTTATCGATCTAGGAAGTTTTTAGTGGAGTGATGGACTTTGGGGAGTTGACCGTGCTCTTTCCATTTGTGAGCAAGCTATTATAAACAATTTATTTCAACTTAACATTTACAAATACTGAGGTAGGAGCTAGGGAAATATAGCTGCATAAATAATCTTGGACTCAAATGGAGGCAGCAGGTGGGTACATTAAGTATGTTTTGATGGTTTTGGGGATTTACATTGTTGTGGACAAGAACCGTATAGGCTAGTGACCAGGAGAAGCTGCAAGGACAGTGACGTCCAGGAGGAGTATTGGGTGGTCAGGAAGAATCACCCTTCTCTGCTGGGGCTGAGACAGGAGGGACCGAGGCTAGGTTTTGCAGGCACAGCTGCTGGTTGCCTCTAAGAGGCCAGCTGAAAAGTCCCCGGGCATCGCAGAGGTTCAGGGTTTCCGCCAGGGGGCGCCGTGGGCCCGCCTCTGCCCGGCCGTTACGTTTCCGGGCACCAAGACCGGGAGCCGCCATCACCGGCCGGCGCGCGCCGCCCCTGTGGGCCGCTCCGGTTACCGGGGCAACCGCGGCGCTTCCTCCTTGTGGGCCGCGACCGCTCTCCGCGCCATTTTCAAACCGCGCTCGTGCCGGAGCTATTGGGCGCAGCGGGAGGAGCCAGCGAGGACGGCGGGTCCCCAGGGCGATGCGCCGCGCGGGGGAGCGGCGGCGGGAACGGCGGTAAGGCTGGCCCGGGGGAGGCCGCGGGGCCGCGGGGTGCGAGCCGGGTCGCGCGGCCTCCGGGGCGGTCCCCCCCGAGGGAGGCCCGGGCGCTGCCGGGAGGAAGTGGGGGAGGGCGGCGCGGGGATCGTCCCACCGTCCGACCGTGCGGCGGCGGGCCCGAGCCGCCGGCTGGGGTGACGTGAAAATGTCCTGTCCGGGAGGATGGTGGCTCCACTTTCCAGGCTGAGTCCCGGAAGGACGGCGACGCCGCCCCGGTCCACCCTCTGTGTGGTGCCCTTCTGCATCCACACGGCGGATGCTTCTGTAAAAAGTAAGAGGTGACCTCATTAAGACACCCTCGGCCCGGGTTCTATAGACAGCTAGTTCCAAACGCTGAACCTGCCGTTTTATGTTGTTCTGATGTTTAAAAGTTGTCATCCGGAATATAAGGAAAACCTAACATGTATATGTTTTTGTTTTTCCTGGGAGGGACTTTACTTGGTATTCTCATTCTGCCTTCTTCATCTTGAAGGATGGAGAGGGTCCGGGTACCCGGTGTTGGCAGCTGTCAGAGGGGAAATGTTTCTTGGAGTTTGCCTTGTAAGTCTAGCTTGTCAGGTGTTTTTCTTGAGATCAAAGCATCAGTCAAGTCCCTCTTGTGGAAGGAACTGGAAAGTCCTAGGGGAAGCCTCTCAGAGAGGCTAGGTATGTAAAGGGGAGTAATCAAGGAGAGGTCCTAATTTAGAAGTATCCTTGTGGACTGGGAAGCTACTTTCTTAGGACAGCCTTTCTTTGCTTCATGCTTAATAGGGAGGATGCCGTTGGTCCTTTGTCCCATACCGGATGTTGGGAGCAGCAGGTTTTTACTTATATTCATTTATAGCACTTACTTACATTTTACTGTTTGTGAAGAACATACTTGTTACTTGATTTAGAAATATGAGTTCTACATTTATTTGGCAAAGGTTGGAAAGGAGCGCGTTTCTAAAGACATGATCTTTGCATACCTCAGTTTTACAGTAGATTAATAGAGAAAATAGTCGTACTTGTTTAAAAAAGACAGATATAACCCTGTCTTGGGGGGAAAAAAGTATAGTAGCTGGAGGTGTAGCCTAGTAGTGGAGTGCTTGCTCTGGGTTTGATCCCTAACACTGCAACAAACAAAATAGACAAGTATACAAATGTATACAGAGGTGCTTATATGTGTGTGTTACTTTTTAAAAATGGAAGCAAATGTGGGCATGGTGGTATATGTAATCATAGCACTCCAAAGGAATGGGCAGAAGAAAAGGTTGAGGCCACTTGGTCTACAAAGTGAGTTCCAGGCCACTCAGGACTTCTTAAGGAGACTGGGTCTCAAAATAAAGTACAAAGATGGAGTGAAATGTGTTTGGTGAAATGCACAGGCCTTGAGTGTGACTGCACATCTGAAAACTTTCCATAAGTGCCTGTGCTGTGTCTGGGTGACTTATCCCAGTTAGTGCTTTTATCACCGAGAAGAAAGCTATCCTTCCCTGTCACTCTCTTCCCTGTGAAACTGTTGCTAGCCCCACAGGTGAACTTTTACCTGTTTCTGAGCTTTTAGTGAATGAAGTCACATAGTATATGTGTGTGGCTTCTTTTGCCTGATTAGTAATTTGAGAGTCATCCCTGTTGCCAGTCTGTAGTGACAGCTTCTTGCCTCCTATCTGAGTCACACTGTCTGGTATAGGGTACCATAGCTTCATCCCTTTTCCAGTTTGGTACAATTGTGAGTAAAACTGCTGTAAACACTGTTGTAGTCTCCCCATTGACTTTTGTGTCCATTTTCTTTTGTAAATATGCAGGAATAGAATTACAGCTTTGTAGGCTTAGGAGCCTGTTAGCCCTGTAAGAAACCACCAGACTTGTTCCTGTGTGGCTTTTTTATACCCCCTCAGCTTTGTGTGTGTTTCGCTTGCTGGGACCCTGTGCTGACACTAAGTATTATCAATCCTTTTTTCATTCTGATATAGACAAAGTTGCACCTCATTGTGGTTATAATCGGAATTTTCCTGAGAACTAACGTTAAACATCTTTTTATATATATTTCTCGAGATATCTTTTGCAAGGTGCTTTTCAAGTTTTTGTACAACTAAAATTCAGTTTTAGCACAATTTGGGAGGGTAACTTGAGACCAGGCCTTGCTATATATCCCTGGCTGTCCTAGGACTTACTATGTATTCCAGGCTGCTCTCAAATTGAGGACTGTCTCCCCATGTCTTCCTCCTAAATGCTGGGAGTACAAGTGTGTGCCTCCTTGCCAGATCTAACCCTGATTCTCTTATTGGATTGTTTTATTATTAAGCTCCAAGAATTTACTTTCTGTTTTGTATATAAATATCTTCCTAACTCTTATGACTATTCTCTAGCATGCTTTGATTTTCATTTTTCTTTCCCCTTTCCCTCTTCCTTGGTGTTACAGAACTTCACATACTAGGCAAGAACTGCCATGAAGCCACACCCAACTGTGACTTTTCATTTTCCTTAATGGAGTGTTTTGATAAGTTGATGTTTTTCACTTTTATAAGGTCCTACTTATCATATTTTTCTTTTATGTTTGTTGCTATTAAGGAATTCTGGTGGGTGTGAGCACAGCCCAGTGTAGGGCACTTGCCTAGCATGAGTAACATACCTGTATGCCATCCACATGTAAGAAAGTGGATTTCCTTCAAGGCTCCCCTGCCTGCCTCTGGGAAATCTTTGTTTTCTTCCAGAATCATCATTGTTTTAACTTTTGCATTTGGGTTTATGAAGAAATGCATGTTTTAATGTGGCAAATAGAGATAGTATTGGATTTAAATCACTGTTAATATTAGAGACTAATGACTAAACAAAGTCATTCTTTCATATTAAGGGGTTTCTCTTACTGTGAAACTTTAACAGCAATATTTCAACCCTCTCTTTTAGGACTTTAATTTTGGAGAGTGAATAAAACTGGTTTTGGGAAGACAAGATGACTACAGCTGCAGAGAGGAAGTATATTAACATTAGGAAAAGGTTAGACCAGCTGGGCTACCGCCAGACTCTGACGGTAGAGAGTCTGCCTTTGGTAGAAAAACTTTTCAGGTAAAGATAAAAATACAGCTATAAATGTCTGTAATCCTTAATCCATGTCCTGAGTTTGTGGTGACCTTCCTGTTTCAGTAAAGCACCAGGTGGACTTTGGGGAAGTCCGCTGAAGCTTGTCTGTTCTCTCTTCAGTCCAAACACAGGGCGTTCATGGTGTAGGACACTAGGGATTGCCATACCCACTGTGCTGTTCCGAGTCACCATTTCTGAGGGTTTTCCCGAATGGAATCACACTCTGAGGTTTCTGATAGAGGTCAGAGGTGCTTTTCCCTTTTCTGTCTTGTCATTTGTTTTTATCCTTTTACACTGGCGAGGAGCCTTAAGTGTGCTGGGTAGGTGCTCCACCATTGAGTTATACTCAACTTTCCCCTGAAGTTCTGTGCCTGTCAAGCGGGTCTTTAATTTCTATTGTTCTAGCAAGGCTCTCAATTTTGTTGTTATTATTGGCACATGTTAAGTTACCATAACTGAGAGGCTGTGATCTCCCCCTCCTTCTCCAGAAGAGCTGTAGTCGGGAGGTTTGAGATCAGAGCAGGTATTTAAGGTTGACAACAAGTAACGCTGGTAGAGAGCAGAGAATGGATGAAAATAACTTGTGGCCTTGGATATGAGCCTTCAAACTTCTCATGACGCAGTTCCTTTGTTTCCCACGTGTTGAATCACTCTCACCCTTGCTGTCTTTGTACACTACTCCCTCTGCCTGTGGCGTGCCCTCCCTGTCCGTTCTTTCCCTTGTACCTCACCTTCGTGCTCTCTTACTGTCCATCATCATTGCCATCTTGGTTTGTTGTCCTTTCATTGAAAACTTCATAAGACTCTGGTGTGAACACTTATAGTCACTGCAGATGAAATGTTTGGGTTATCATCTACTATGTGTTTTTGATGATTGTAGAACATAAGTTCATTAATAAGTACATTGTGTGCATGTGTTTTCTCCTCACCAAATGTTTAGTGAGTGAGTGTTCTATTGTCTGTGTTCTTAGAGGTAAGAGCTGTCTTCCTGGAGCTGTGAACAGCGGGCAATCAATACATGTTTACTCAATAAAAAGTCAGTTTTTCAGGGTCCACAGACCTAGAGGAGAAATTGAACCGTGATTTGGCATGGTAACTCATTTGGTTGGGGGCCCTAATCAGGTGTTGCTAAACAATGGGATCTTTAAACTAAAGGTAAAATTATCAATGAAAGTACTTTTAAAACTGCGGGGGAGAAAAAAAAAAAAAAAAAACAACAGTTTCACGTGTTTGTATTTTACAACTTATATTAGCTTGTTTTGAGAAAGTTCTGAGGACTTTTTGATACCTTGAAAGAACATAACTGTTCATTTCTTCTTGTAGATTTGATATTATTTAACATTTTCATTACAATTAAGCCTTTTTAGAAATGTATTTTAAGTTAGTAGACAACTAATAGAATGTTTTCTCGCATTTGCGTTTTCTGTCCTTTAACTCTAGTGATTTGGTTCATACAACAGAGAGCCTGCGGCAGAGCAGGTTGTCCTCGGCAAAGGCGGAGAAGGAAAGTGCCAATTTCGATTTTGTTTTGGAACCTTATAAACTTGAGAATGCAAGGCTGAGTAGGGAGAATAATGAGTTGTATCTGGAGTTGATGAAGCTGAGAGAACACTCAGACCAGCACATTAAAGGTACATGAAATTTGATGAATTTTTAAATGCGGGATCCTTGTCTTCTTTTTTATAAGTTTTATAAGTGGAAAAGGCTGAAGTCTTGTTTTACAATCCTTGATAAGAAATCTAATAGTCCTACTAATAGCTCCATTAATACAGGAAAATGTACTGAATGCTTGAGAGTGGAAGTAAGTGTGCACTCCATAGCATTGTCTTTCTCACTATATGCAGAAGACGTTTTTGATGTGAAATTGGTATAAAGAGTATTCAGTGGCAGAATGGAAGGTTTTCTTGAAACAACTATTGTTTCTGTTACTGAAAAGGAAAGTACTGAGTAGGTAAAAGCCATGGCACTTATTAGGCAGTGTTGAGCCAGGAAGTAGATTTCAAAGGTAAAGGATAATTACTTGTTATTTTACTATGAATTTTATAATCAATAATTTTTCAACTTAAAGCTTACTTACTGGATCAAAGCCATGGTACACATTAGTCATACGCAATAATAGCAAAAACAAAGTTGCCTTTTGTGATTGGTGGGTTATGAGCAGTCATTAGCGGTAGGAAGTGCATTCATTAGCTTTCATCCATCTGTGATGCCCAGGTGGCATCTCTCAGCTTGGTGTGGATGTCTTGATCTTTAGAGTTGTATTTTCATCTTCCTCACTTTAAGAGTTGAAAACTACATTGAAAAAGTGTTCACATGAGACAGAGGATCTGAAATTTCTGAATAACCAGTATGTTCATAAACTCAAACTCTTGGAGAAAGAGAGCAAAGCTAAGAATGAAAAAATCCAACAACTTCAAGAAAAGAATTTGCAAGCTGTAGTACAAACTCCCGGTGAGTCTTCTCCTTCTCAACCATGAAGACAGACTTCCTTGTCACGAGAGACTATTCATTTACAAAGTGCAGTGCTAATCTTGCCAGCTACTGTAAAAGTAAATGGGCTATGAGTTTTATACAACTCCAAGATCAATCTGTCCATTTAAAAACATCCCTATTACTTACAGAGATAATTGCGGAGGTATTCAGTACTAATTCAGATTATAGGTGATTGTCTTACATCCTATTATTTTCTAGTTGTGTTCTTTGGAGTTTTCAGTTATCTGCTCTTTGTATGTTTGTGCAGTAATGTGTGCACGCGCATATGTAGGCCAGAAGTCAACCTCTGGTTTCTTTCTCAATTGCTTTACACTAGATTGTTTTCAGACAGCCTTGGGTGTTTTCAGTGAGCCTTGGGTATGCCTATTAGGCTAGACAGGCTGGCCAGCAAGCCCCAGGGATCTTCCTGTCTCTACCTCCCCAGTGCTGGGATTACAGGCATGGCACCACAAGTAGATTATTTTGCATGGTTTCTGGGGCTTGAACCCAGGTCTCATGCTTGAATGGCAGACATTTTACCAGTTGAGCAATCTCCTAGCCTCCAGTTATCTGTTCTTTTGATGTTTAATAAGCTTGTGTATTTTAGGTCTTACTGTCAGTGTTCCTCACCTGACAGTTGTGTGATGGTGATATTTAACTCATGTCACTGACCACTGCAAGGCACGCTCAGATTTTAATCCTGCTGGAATCTGATCTAGCCTATGGACAGTTTAAACCTGTGTGTGTATGCCAAGCCCACAGGCATAGAAAACTTGTCTTATAGCCTTATTGAATGAGAAACACATTGCTCAGTCAGAGAATATTTACAGATGAGCCCTCTTTATAAGAAAAGGTTGATCTGTGCTGTTCAGTACTTAGAAAAGTGTTCTGGTTCTCCTTGGTTTTAAGACATAGGGACATTGTTTCTCCATTTGTAGGTGGCAAGAAAAGAAGCATTGCATTTAGACGCCAGCGGATGCAAATCGATGAGCCAGCCCCACCCTCTGAGGTCAGCTCCTACCCAGTCCCACAGCCAGAGGACCCATACATCGCAGACCTCCTGCAAGTGGCTGATAACAGGTGTGTTACATACTGGCTTGGCTAAGCTGGGAGTGGTGGAGGTATGCATGGTGTCCTTGAGGACCTGAGTTCGGTCATCATCATCATCTTCGTCCTTGTTTGTAACCAATCTTTTTCTGTTCTGCCTGCCAGCTTCCAAATAATGACACAGAAATTTCTTATTAATTATGAAAACTCGCATATAGCTTAGGCTTGTTCCTAACTAGCTCTTGTAATATTAATCTACATTCTATCACGTGGTGTTACCTCTTTTCCATCTTGTACCTTCTGTCTCCTCTGCATGTTTCCTGGCTTCTCTCATGCACCTCTATTACTTCCTACTTCTCTCTCTGCCTGGAAGTCCTACCTATACCTCCTACCTACCTATTGGCCACTCAGCTCTTTATTAAACCAATCACAGAATACATTCTCATACAGTGTACAAATATCCCACAACATTTGTTGCCTTGTTTGATCGATCACAAGCTGTTTTGTAAGGTATTTAGTGGGAAGGTTTGAGCTTTACATAGGTCCTCAATAGGTGTTTTCAGAATGATATGAACATTTTACTGTTTAAAAACTTTATATTTGAGGTTTCTGCCCATACTTGCTGTAAAATGACCTACTGCTGTTAGGAACCCATTTCAATAGTGTCACTTTGACATTCAGATTCATCTAAGTAGGTTCCATCTTTTACTGGAATCTCTACCACTTCAGACTTATAGCAAAATGCCAGCTGGGCATGAATAGATTGCTAACTTGATCTGAAGTTCTTCTCTCATCCATTCTTTAGCCCTGTATTTATATTTTCTTATATAAATTAGAGTCAGATATAAATTCCATTTAATTAACTATTCATTAGGCCTCCAGGGCGAGACCTTGAGCACATGCCCGGAGATGTCAGAGTGAGGTCATGCTGCTGTTTGGAAATGCTTGCAGTCCAGATGTCTCTGAGAGAGTTATGGTGCTTTAAGGGCAAAAGAGCAAGCTCTAGTGATACTCTAGTGATTCTGGGGAAGGCCAACAAATAGGGGTGCATGTGGAGACAGCGCAGGTGAGGACTTTGTGGTTCATGTAGAGAATACAGAGGAGACTTTTCAGCCGCCCATCATTCTAAAAGAGCTTTGGTGAGATCTGAGGACCACTTCAGTCCTTTATTCTCTCCAATATTATGTGCCCATGTTTATATGGCTACCTTGACCTTTTGTGGTTTGCTCATCTGTTAAGGTTATGGCGAGGCTACCAGGTAGTGTTATTGAAAGAATTGTTTACTGTAGCAGCGCCATCAATCTCTTTTATCTGTTTACTTTGGTGTAACACACACACACACACACACACACACACACACACACACACACACACACGTTTGCATATGGTCTCCTGCAGTAATCTAAGAGTGCTTGCATGTGTCATCTTATCCCTAGCCTAGATTAGTAGAGACTTTTGGCTTTGGTAAGTGTTGGGATGAACTCTCTGCAACCTACTTATTGCAGCTCATGGAATATTTCTCCTTAAAGCAGACCCACTTCAGGCTTTCCTGTCAGAAGTGCGTTATGCCATACCAAAACAATGGAAGCCATGTGGAGTTCAGATGGCTTGGACAGAGTCTTGATCCTGTCAGAGCTTATAAGAAAAGCAGGTTTTGCTGGGGTCACCTGGAAAACTGCTGTTTACTCAGTTTTCTTCTCTCCAGGGTTGGTTAGGGTCAGAAAACACACACTTGTCCCTTGTTTCATTTAGTGATATTGTGAATTTTGAACTAGACCTTGAGTGTCCTGAGCCTAAAAATTGGTAGCTATACCTCAGAGTTGCTCTAAGTATCCAATGGAACAGTGAGGTGATTTATTGCATGATGTATCTAAGTTTATAATCACTCACCTCTCAAGTAATTTTGATTTCTGCTTCTTTAAAATTAGCTCTTCAAGGTGATACTGTATTTAAGCTGAGGTTCTGGAGCCCTTCAGCATAGCACTGCATCCCTCCCCAGAAGCCAGAAGTGGGATTTTATGCAATAGTTACTGTCATGCTTCATTGTATTGTTTTGTCTCTCTTAACCAAAGTCTGTTATATATGCTGACATTGGATATGTATGTTTCAGGATTCAGGAACTTCAGGAGGAAGTCTACCAGCTGCAAGAGAAGTTAATGCTGATGGAAAATGGAGTGAGAGGTTACAGCAAGCAGGTAGGACTTGCTTATTTGTGTGTCTGGGTTGAGTTGTATATGATCTGATCATGACTAGAATTGTCTTATATTTGATATTTCAAATCCCTAGTTTTAAATGCAGTCTATTTTTCCCCAAAGTGCTTGTTAGTCAAGTTAATAGGTAGAGTAGCTCTAGATAGCGGTACCTGGTTCATTCCCTTCATTATTCACTGAGGTGACCAGTAATTTTAGTTTTGTTTTTCCTTTTATTTGAAGTATCTATTTTCCCTAATCAAAAAAAAAAAAATAGCCTAAATAAAAATTGTGTTACTATGTTCATCTCAAGAATAATTTTATTTAAGAATGACAACATACTTTTATAATTATATTTATATGTTTTATAATTATATTTGTTAAGAGGGCTGACTAGATGGCTCAGCAGTTAGAGGTGCTTGCCACCAGGCCTGACTTCCTGATTATCTCCAGGACCCACACAGTGGAGAGAGAGAACCGACTCCCAAAAGTTGTCCTCTGACCTCCATTTATGAGGCATGTACACATACACACACACTATAAATAGATATTTTAAAAAAACACACACACACAGAAGAAAATAATTGTCTTTTTTTTTTTTTCCGTCTTGTTTTTGAGACAGGTTTTTTTCTATGTAGCTCTGTAGATCAGGCTGGCCTCAAACTCACAGAGATCCACCTGCCTCTGCCTCCTGAGTGCACCACCACTGCCTGGCTTGTATTATTATTATTTTTCTTTTATTATTTTCGTTTTTACTAACTGTAAGCCTTTGACAGTTGCTCTTCTGGGTTGCTGCGTCTCAGTGTAGAAGCATTACTTCAGCATGACAGTTTTCTAAGGAGCAAGGGCTAGGCAGATGCTGTTAAATCGTAACCAGAGCGAGCTTTGTGCTTGTGCTATCGTTGGACTCTTGGCTAAACAGCATGCTTTATTTCCTATTGTGCTCACTGAAGTTTGAACTGGGTAATTTTTTTTTCATGTACATGGTTGTTTTTTTTCTTTTTTGCATGATCTGTACATATAACTCTGTATGTGCCAATGTGTTATAACTCTTAGTTTGTAAAGTTCTTTGAAATTATTTGGATTAGAAATGTGTTAAAGGAAGTTCTAATATTGTCAAACCAAACCAACCAACCAAACAAGCAAAAAAAACTTCTTTATGAAGACACTAAGAGCATTGGTTCTCAGTGTGTAGGCCATGACCCCTTTGGGGTCAAATGATGCCCTCACAGGGATCACATATCAGATATTTACATTATGATTCATAACAGTAGCACTTACAGTTATGAATTAGCAATGAAAATAATTTTATGGTTGGGAGTCACCACAACATGAGGGATTGTAAGGGTCATAGCATTAGGAAGGCTGAAAACCCCTGCACTAAAAGTATCACATTTTTATACTGGGGTGTGTGTGGCTCAGGGGTAAAGAACTTGCCTAGCATGAGGCACTGGATTCAATGCTTAACATAGAAAAGAAAGGAAGAAAAAATAAGCACACATTGAATGTCATTGTTACTTTTCAGTTTCTAACCACATTTTCCTGAGTACTTTATGAACAGAAACTGCCCAAACCTTGCCTGCCATTTCTCTGAGGTGACTAAAGTGTTTGGAGGTTGTTGCTTGCCCTTACTGATTAAAGTCCTAGTTGACTGCCCATCCATCTTAGTTGAGTCTTCTCTGCTATTGAGTCTTCTTTTACTTGTGTTTGTTTTCCAGGTTGTGAGGGTCAGAGGTCAGCTCAGTGGTGGGCACTTACCCAGCATGCTGGAAGCCCTGAACTGAAAACAATGACAGCACCCCATACTTTGCTGTTCCTGACCTCTCCTGACAGTCTAATCCCACTTTCTTGGGATATCTCTTTGTTTGTTTCAGTGTGCTGTTTTTACCTTTAAGTAGTGATAAATTGTTCCCGGGGTCTCCTAAGACTTGATGGACAGGGGGTTGTGTAGCAGTACTTCCTCACTGGGACCGCCAGCTCACAAATAATGACACAGAGACTTATTAATTATAAATGCTCAGCCTTAGCTTAGGCTCGTTCCTAACTGGTTCTTATAACTTGGATTAACCCATATTTTTAAAACTGTGTTCTGGCACGTGGTTCATTACCTCATCTCTGTACTGCCCATCCTGCTTCCTTCTCGTCTTGCTGACCACGCAGCCTTTCTTCTTCTCAGAGTTCTCTCTCTGCCCGAAGTCCCACCTATACCTCCTGCATAGGTATTGGCTATTCAGCTTTTTATTAACACCAATCACAGCAATATATCTGTACACAGTGTACAAATATCCCATTGAACATTGGTTCAATGTTCAGTTCTTCACACTTCACTCCAGCAGAGCTTCCTTGCATATTACAGCCCAGTTATGCTGAGCCGTTTCTGCTGCCTCTGATATTTCCCATGAGTTTATGCACTGGTGTCACTGCCTGGAGCACCCCTTTTTTTGGTACAGCATTGCTATAACCTTTATGGGCATCCTGTGTTTAACAAAGTCTTGGTGATTTCATAGGCACAGATGTAGAATGCAGAGTGGGCCACTTTATCCCTTTAAGTGCTGGTGCCACCAATATACCATTTCCTTCACTCTTCTGCTGAAGAAGACTTGTTGTCCAGCAACTACTGGGGTGTTTGCTAGCACTCCTTATTATGTTCTCTGTTCCTGGAAGTCAGAGTCCATTATTTATTCAGCCTTACATAGCTCAGTGTGTGTTCAGTAATTAGTAAGTTGAATCTTTGTCATTGTTGTTTTTCTATTTTTAGGGAAAAACAAGTGTGTGTGTGTGTGTGTGTGTGTGTGTGTGTGTGTGTGTGTGTGTGTGCGCGCGCGCGCGCGCATTATTCCAATTCTTGCATGTGAATTGATGTCAATTTTTGGTTAATAGTTTGTCTTTTGACTATATGTAAATTCAACCCTATTTTCTTTTTTAATACTGAATTTGATAACAACTCAGTTTTTCATGTTTTCCACTTATTCCTTCATTCATTCATTCTAGCAAGAACTGAAGTATGTCAGCATTATTCCAATACTTGAACATGTATAATCTGCCAAGACAATTATTTTCATATAAACAGTTGCCAAACTTGAGAGGAAAAAAAAAGCTTAGATATTCAATTAGAATCAATTCCATAAAAGCACTGATAAGATCTATGTTGACACTATTAATGCTGGTGTGTTCTGTGTTTTCACACATGTATGGTTTCCAGGATAAATAGCTGCTTGTGTGCATTGTTGGGACACAAGGAAAGACATGTCTAAACTAAAGTGCAGGGTTACGGATTTGCTTCACAACCAGTTTACAACTGAAAGCACAAATTTATGTCCTCAGATTGAACTAAGAGAACGAGAAATAGAACGGCTGTCACTTGCTTTGGATGGCGGTCGTTCCCCGGATGTCCTGTCTCTGGAGAATAGAAATAAAACCAATGAAAAGCTTATTGCTCAGTTAAATATTCAGGTAATGGCTCTTAGGGTTATTTCACTAAGTATATAAATATCTGAAAATTTTATAATGATCTGTGGGTTTATAAAAAGTGATGGGTTTGCTCATTGAAGTATTATTTATAAGGGAGTTTTTATTTGTCCCTTTTATTCATTTTGAGACAGGATCTCACTATATAGCCTTGGCTGGCCTAAAACCCTCAATGTAGACCAGACTGGCCTTGAACTCACAGAAATCTGTCTGCCTCTCTGGTTCTGGGATTAAAGGCTTGTACCACCATGCTTAGCTGTGGGGAGTTTCTAGTAGAGCAGAGTATGTAGAAACAAGGGGCAGCTTTCAGAAGCCAGAATGCTCAATGAGGCGACAAGTAAGATAGATCTAGTGTTGCAAACTTAAAAGAAGATCATAAACTCTGGGCAGTACCTTTAGTTTGCTCTTTAAAGACCATGACTGGGTGAGGCATGGTGACACACTACTATGATCTTGCACGGGATGGGGATAGGCAGGAAGATTAGTTTATGGCCAGCCTCAGCCCCATAGTAAATTCTAGACTTCCATGGGTTACATGAGACCCTATCCCCAAAGAACAAAACAATAAAATATATAAATATATATAGAAAACCCAGAGGGATATTTTAAAATATACTGACAAAGTTTATCTTTGTGTGTTGGGGAATTCTTGATGGCTTTGTATATTTACTACTTGATAACTATTTTATACTGTAGAAGATGATTGTAAGGTATACATATGCTTATATTATTATATATAGATTATATATACTGTCTATAATATATGCTATAGTATTCACAACATTATCCATCCACTTTATACTTTACATACATATTATATAGCATATATTAGCATGTAATATGTTATTGGTATATTAATGTGGTAAGAGTGTAGCTTGGTAGTAAAAGGCTTGTGTAACATGAAAGTTGCAAGGCTTATCTTCACCTCTGTCAAGAAATAGTAACATAAATAAAACACAAAGTTTGTGCCATGCTTTGACCTGAGGATGAAGAAGCAGAAGAGCTCTGTAAGGTGTGACACATGAACTTAGATGTTTAAATATGTTGGAGATGTCTGTACGTAGCCAGGTAGAGTTTGTTCAAATATTCAGCATTCAAATATACTGTCCAATGGAAATGTGAATCCAGCCAGATGGATACATTATATTTGTAAATAATGCATTTATCCCAATATATCCAAAACTTCATTTCAGCATGTCATAGTTTTAATTTCCTAAAACAACAACAAAACCCAGAAATTTGAAACTCCATGCACTTTACGTTTATAGAGTGTCTCGGTTTAGAGCCATATTTCAAGTGCTCAGCAGCACTATCTAGATGCTCATAGCTACTCTATTGGGCAGCACAAGCTAATGTCATTGTGACAGTCTTGTCATATTTTTAGACCTCTGTTGGGAACAAGTTCACAAAAATTTCTTATCCTTTCCTTGTGTATGAAAAAATCAAAGCCAGTGGATGGACATATTTTCATTAAGGTACCATTGTCAGTTTGGAGGGGTAAAAAAACAGACAAAAACAGCTGAAAAATACAGTGTTTAGAACTTTTAGTTTGAAAGTTGAGAATTTCAGATAACTTCCCAATTTATGTACTTTTATGACTGTGATTGTAAATTGGCTCCAGGTTGACTTTCTTCAGCAAGCTAATAAAGAACTGGAGAAGCATATTCAAGAACTCATGGAAACCAAGGAAACAGTGACGACCGAAGTTGTAAACCTAAGTAACAGGAATGAAAAGCTCTGCCAGGAGTTAACGGAAATCGACCAGCTAGCTCAGCAGCTGGAAAGGCATAAGGAGGAAGTGCTGGAGACTGCAGACAAGGAGCTTGGGGAGGCGAAGGTGAGGCTGGGTCTGTGCTGTGGAAGCTCACTAGCCCTGAGCACAGTGAGCTGAGCTCAGGAGAGCCATGTTCACAGTGGGGGTGCATGTCTGCCTCAAATAAGCCAAGGGTTTGGGGATTTTTTGTTTTGTTTTGTTTTTGTTTGTTTTGTTTTTTGAGACTGGGTGTCTCTGTAGTTTTGTAGACCAGACTGGCCTCAAACTCACAGAGATCTGCCTGCTTTTGCCTCCAGAGTGCTGGGGTTAAAGGCCTGCATCACCACTGCCCAGCCTACTTTTTATGATCAGTGTCTTACTGGCCTAGAATCAAAACATGTATGAATTGAATTTCTTTTCTTAATTCTTTGACTGTAAGGTTCAGTGTTATGCTAGTCATCCACATGGTATTATCGTTACCTTTGTTAAAAATCACTAGGTCAAAGTGGCAGGTATTTCACAGTGCTGATCAGTATTTTAAAAGTAAATTTATATTTGGAATACATCTTAATGAAATATAATAGGAGAAAAATAAAGCCTTCAGCCAGCCCCAGCTTAGCCTAGATGATCAAAAGGCATTTCATTTTAATATTGAAAATGTGTGCTTTTAAAACATGAATGAGATTTCTTTGAAACAGTGGCTAAAGGCAGTTGTGAGAGGGAGAGTGAGACTAGAGAGCCACACATACCTAGGATACAGTCAGGCTCTCTGGTCATCTATGAGGCGCACTGTAAGTCAATTAAGTAACTAGATGCCACTCGTTAAAGGCTGTGTGCAGGGAGGTGAAGCTCAGTGTGTACATGTGCCTGGGCTCATTCCCCAGTACCACAGAGCTGGTTGTACCCATAGCTTGATAGTATCCTTGGGAACTCTTCCTGCCAAGAGTGCACAGGACCCAGTGTGAAGTCCACTGTTTTGTGCACTGTAAATCACTGCATTCATGTTAGGCAATGCTAACCCCCGGGTTAGTAAACCAGAAGGAAATTATATCAATATAATACAGCTAGTATAGCAAACATACTCAGTGTTGGAAGACTAAAATCAAGAACAAGTCTAGGATACTTTTATTATTTCTGCTAAGTCAGGACTGACACGTGCCTAGAAATCCCAGCATTTGCAGGGAGGCTAAAGCAGGAACACTGTTCTAGGCCAGCCTGGGATACATTCTGAAACTATATCTTAATAAAACTAAGCTAAAACAGTACTGGAAGAGCTTTTCAGCAGATAGATACAAAAATAAAACAGAATAAAGGGCATACAATTTTCAAAAAAAGAGTACATCTGTGATATGACCTCAATTGTGGAAAATCCAAAGATTTGCACATAATGAAATAGAATAAGTTCAACAAAATTACATCTTAAACACACACACACACACACACACACACACACACACACACATACACACACGCCAGCTGATTTAAGACTAAGAAAAACAAATCAACAAAGAAATTCTGTTTTCAGCCACATCAAAAAGAATGAACTTAAGTAGTAAGGTGAAAACTTGAGTTACAACAGAATACTCATGAAAATTAAAGGATGTGTAAGTGGAAAGGCATCCTGTGTGCATTCATCCAGAGACATATGTTGTGAAGCCACATAGTCTGTGAATTCAACTCAAGTCCTATCAGAATACAGTGCCAGTTTTTGCAAAGAGGAAAATAGTCCTGGAGTGTATATGGACTCTGAAGAGACCCGGCATAGCCAGCCAGCGGAAGAAGATGTGGGTTAAGGGTGTGACCCAGTTTGCAGCGTGCTTGCCTCACATGCTTTGAGGCCCTGGGCTTGATCTTCAGAACTGGGGGAAGGTGTGGGGTGTGTAGTTTATATAGTTTTATTTCTGCTTTTCTGGTTTAGTGTATGGCTACATTCTCTGTCATCCCCCTCTTGCTCTACCCCTTTTTGTACATTCTGTGCTTTTATATTCAATGCTTTGAATGTGGCCCTTCATGGCCTATTGACAAGTCCCACAGCTGTCAACTCGATGCAACACAAGATTTGCTGTTGGATCACAGTATTTCAAGGGCATTCTGCTCTCTCAATTGTAATGTAAGAGATCCAGGCTGGTAAAAGCAGCCCAAGAGCAGTGAAGAGGATGGTTAGGAAATGACCACCATCATTTCCCAAAGCTGAGGCCTAAGAAGGGAAAGTTGAAGTGGTTCTCTACTTGATAAGTGAATCCACACAGGCATTCAGGACACCACAGTATTAAACAGAATCTCATCTCAGCTTCACTCTATTCACTGACACTGAGCATTAGCCTAGAGTCTCAGACCTTGCTGATAGAGTGCAAACCAGCTGGTCTTATTCCTTATGCCATGGTAATGTATAGTCTTAGGGTCTTAGATGCTCACCTAACAAGCTTTTTATTCCTAGAAAGAGATTAAAAGAAACCTCTGTGAAATGCGGAACCTTGAGGAAAAAATGTCTAAACTTCAACTGGTAAGTTGGTGTCATACTGTTGCCAGTGTTCCCAGCATGGGATTGATGCCTGGTTGTATACGTCTATTGAAAAACAATGTTTATGGATAATGTGCAGTCATTTTAGTGGGCTGTGTGGTTTTAGCAGTCACAGAATTGAATAGCCATCACTGCTAATCCCAGAACATTATCACTCTAGAAAGAAACCCTACACCCACCTGTAGTTACCCATTACCTCCTGCTTAGCTCCTGACAACCATTTACTAGGTTCTCATTCTGACGGTTTTGTATAAATGGATCATGTATTGTGTGACCTTTTGCATCAGGTCTTTAACTTGGCGTCTTTTCAAGGTTTATGAGGTCATAACATGAATGGGAACTCCATTCCTGTCCATAGCTGAGTGATAATGTTCCACAGTGTGGTTATGCAATTTCATCATTTTATCACTCTCTAACTTTGGGTTTATAGGTAACACTGAAAGTATGAGACACTGGTAGGAACTCTGTATCCCTCTAACTACTTTATGGCTTGGCAGTTTACTAATAATTGATCAGAAACTGGTATTTGTTGATTATTATTAGAAGTATTTGTTCTTCTTTTAATTGTTTTGCTTGTGTAACTCAAGCTATTTTCTTAGTCATCATGCTTGTCCCTATAACCTTTGGTGACAAAGGCAGGCTTCATCCCAAGAGAACCCTTAATACAGGGGCTTATTGTGGAATTAGGAGGTCTTATAGGCTAAAACTGATAGTCACTTAGAGATGGAGGGCTCTCTTCCTTGTGATAGCCTGCTATGTTGGAAGAGTAAGCAGAGACCAACAGTAACTTGCACCTCTTCATTATGTATAGTCTACGCTGCTGTATTCTGGTGACATGCTGTTTCTGTGGAATAGTAGACTGTATGCACTGTTTGTGGATTTTTGTACACATAGTATCAACAGCACATAATAGTGGCTTCATGACTGACAGTGAGACTTTCAAGGAGAAAAGGTCATTCGGACTCACTGACTGCATTTTAAATAACAGCAAGATTTGCAAGAGATGACTTACAATCAAGAAATTTCACCCTATGCATCTTTGAAGCAGTGTGCTAAAGGCATTTTGAAAGTGAAAGTGAGAGTATAGAACTCACACATATGCATGTGTGCAAGAGACTGTTCACTCTTGTCTGCACATTGTGAGTGTTGAGGATGATTGACAGTGCTTGTTTCAGATCCATGATCGAGTCTCTGTAATGTTGGCTGACACTGTCAACAGTTTCTTATGTTTTCTGTTAGCTTTGTATATTATGTATTTCTGAGATAATGATAATTGATAGCTAATGTTCACTTGCACTTGCTATGGCAGAAACAGTGACTATGTGGCTGGGTCTATACTGTTACACTCTTTAAACGTAGGCATTAATAAATTGTGTTGTGCACAAACATAGTCATTTAGAGAGAAGTAGGACAATATGCTAAATAAACAAATGAATAGCAAACAAAATATAAGGGTTCTACCTTCCACAAAAGAGCATTGTTAGCATTTGTCACTATGGGTTTTATGGTATGTTTGCTTTATATGTTGTTTTTTTGTGGGGTTTTTTTTTTTTTTGCTTTCTTTTAATTTTTATAATCAATATATTTAGATTTTTTTTTCTCCCCTAGCTCCTCTCATATCTTCCCTCTCTACCCATCTTTATCTCTCTTTCTTACTATTTCTCCCTCTCTCCATCCTTCCCTCCAAACAAAACAAAAGCAAATATCAAAACAAAAGAAAACCCAGTAAGACAAAAAAATACCAAAACAAAGCAAAATATGCATACAAAAAACATGGAGTCTGTTTTGTCTGGCCAGCTAAGCATGGGGCCTGTCCTGGAGTGGAGTTAATATACAAAAAAGCACTTCACTGGAGAAAATTGATTTTCCCTTTCCCAGTAGGTGTCAATTGTAGATAGCTTCTTAGTTAGGGGTGGGAGACTGTGTCCATTTTCCCTTCTCTACTGGGACTACATCTGGCCATGAACCTGAGTGACCTGTGTGTAATGCCAGTCTCTGTGAGTTCATTTGTGCATCAGTCCTGTTGTGTCTTGAAGACATTGTTTCCTTATAACCATCCACCATCTTTCGCTCTTATATTCTTTCTGGATACTCTTCCACAGAGGACCCTGATCCTTGAGGGGAGGGTTTGATAAAGACATCCCATTTAGAACTGACTGCGCCAAAGTCTCTCACTCTTTTCACATTGTTCAATTATGGGTCTCAGTGTTTGTTCCCATCTACTATGAGAAGAAACTTCTCTGATGAAGAGTTAAATGTGGCAGTGATCAGAGTTCCAGGCCAGTGTGCAGACTGTGGGTCCTAGGGGTAGAGGGCTTAAAAGTATGTTCATGTACACACACACACACACACACACATGAATTGCTATTATATATCTATATACATACATATGCTTATAAAGTATCCATTCACCTATAAGTATTAGAAATGTTTAATAAAGTTATTAGAATACTTAATTATAGAATTACTGTTTTGTAGGAATTAGACTTATGCCATAAGGAAAAAGAGAGACTAAATGGTGAACTCCTTCTGAAATCAGACCTGGAAACTGTTGTTCATCAACTTGAACAAGAAAAATACAGACTTAGCAAAAAGTTGGAAAGTTTTGCAGTCACAGGTAAGATGCCAAATGTAAGTTTAAAAAGGGATTTGCTCTCACCATGTTGTTGCTATTAGTAGATGATCATTCATACATTCATCTAATAACCACATGTTGGGCACTTGCTGTGAACCAGAAATGATGCTAGGCAGTGTGGACATGGTAGGAATCCCTCCCTGTGTTATGACTGGTTGTCACAGGAGAGACTTCTGAAGTATTTACAGTGGAAGTGTATGCTTCTTTGAGGCAGCCTGAGAAGACCGTTCTGAAATATCAGACATTGAAGTACAGAGCCTTTAAGCGAATGCCATTTAATCCCTTAAAATCCACGCTTATGTCTCTTTGATCACCCCCTACTCCACTCCGTAGCTCCTCACTGCATTCCAGGTGGCTCCTGTCCCTGCCTCACCAGCCAGCAGAACTGTCCTTTCCAATGTATTTGGACATGGCACTGAATGCAGCCAGTGCTCTTTTCTTGTTAGCTTGTTTCTTTTTTAACATTTACTGCAGTTGCTCATCCCTTCTTGCTTTCCTCTCTGGTCATTCCTTCTTCGGATGAAATGGCCAGTTCATAAATTTTCTAATTCCATGGATTAGCCAGTGGCATCTAGTAAATTGTACATCTGCTAAGGGAATGAAGGGGAATATGGCAGTATCGCATACATCATGAAAATGGCTCTACATCAGTGTCATGGGTGTCAGTTCCACAGGCTGAACTCTGTGAAAATAATCTTTATAATCAAAACTAATCATTGTGAGCTGGGTTGTTTATAGTGGTATATTCCTACAGCCCCAGGCACTTAACACACACAAGGCCTCTAAAGCAGAAAGCTACTATTTATGCTTATTGGAAGAAAACAATGAGTTGTTTTGGTTTCTTTGTGCATGTATTAAATTCAAGTTGAGTGAGGTGTGTACCTGCAGGGTTGCTTACAAGTGCTTTTCTTCCAGTGCTCTTTTAGGGTTTCTAGGATGCCCTGCTTGGAAATTCATTGCTTTCTTTTATGATACCAAATAGTGTCCTACTGTGATGACATCAACAGGGGGTGGGGTGGGGTGGGGGGGGTGGTTACCTTCACTTGTTGATCACTTCTCATTCTCAATATTTACCAGATTTGTGTGATCCTTGTGGTTGACACATAGAACAGGGTTGCTAGTAGTTTCCATCCTGTAAATTATTTATTTATTTGACTAATCCACATTATATCCTCAATGTTATCTTAACGACTTTAATCTGCAGAAAGAGAACTGACTTTGGAAGTTGAGAGGATGAGGCTAGAGCACGGAATAAAACGCCGAGAAAAGTCACCCTCCCGTTTAGATACATTCCTGAGAGCCATAGAGGAGGAACGAGACTATTACAAGAAAGAGCTGGAGAAACTCCAGCATATCATCCAGCGAAGAACTTATTCTGTGAATTACTATGCCCGGGAAAAATCCTCAATGTACAAATGCTCAGAAAAGGTAATACTGTTCCTAAGAGTAATCAAAAGGATACATGCATGTACGTGTGTGTGTACGTGTGTGCGTGCACACGTGTGTGCCTGTGATAAACATGGTTTTATTGCTGTATTTTAAGTACAACATCATTAATACATGCTTTAAGAAGTTCTAATCTTGATTTTTGTTTTTTCTATAACTTGCAATATGGGGAAACCCTGCATTGTTAGGAAAACTACCCAGCAATAAAGGAAACCATTTTGATTCCTGTAAATTTAGCTTGAATAGCTGAGCCATGTGAGAGGCCTGTAGGCTTTCAGAAGCCAGACCACAAAGACTCACAGTACTATACATTTCTGCTCTTTCCAGGATTTATGTTCTGTAACAGCTGCACTTTCCCTCTGCTAACAGAGTAGATCTGTCCTCATGGCACACAAGTCTGTCTTTATGTCATTCCCAGCTTTGTTGGTCGAGTTAAGAGCATCATCGCTTCCAATAACTGTTTCACAGCGTCAATAACACGCTGCAGGCGTGGTGGGTGACTGTGGATTAGCACGTGAATGAAATGAGTGTGTGAGAGACAGTTGTGAGCATGGAGACCTGGGGATTGCATTGCCCACATAGAAGTCAGCATTTTGAGCATGTGTGGAAGCACTTTGTTAGCAGACAACAAAGAGCTCTCTCAATCTGGACTTGGTACTGCCTGTAGCTGTCAGCTTCCTGCTTCGTGGTACGCTGGTGAGCAGAGTTTCTTGGAATTACAATAAATCAGGAAAATTATAGGCATGTTTAATATGAGTGATCTTTATTATCCCTACCTCATTAAGCTGCTCTTGTCTTTGATGGGAGCATTTCCCTTTTAACAGTCTGAGTGTGAGGACAGCACTAGGCTTTGGAACTGGGAAGTCTGATACCAGGCCCAGCTTCTTGAACCAGCTTCTGATAAACCTTGGAGAAGCTGACCTCATACAGCCCCAATTCCTCACATGCGGATCCAGAAAAGGAAAAAAAAAAAAAAAAAAAACTACCCCTTCTAGAAAGATTGAATGTGATCATTGACAAAAGGGAGTGTGTACTTCCTAACTAGGAAACAGTTTGTTTCTTTATTGCTTGCTGTTTTAAAGCAGCTCTGATCTGTGTGGTTAAGTTCAGTAGAGATATACTGTCTTCTATGAATGAAGCATGTAATGTAGAGATAATGTTGATAGTTCCTAGCCCATTGAGGTGGCTTACATCTGTAATCTCGGTGTTGTGGGAGGGGCTGCAAATTCAAGGCCTGGCTGGCTGCAAAGCAAGTTCCAAGGCAGCCAGGGCTATCTACTGAGACCCTGTCTCAAAATAAGGAAAAAGGAGAAAAGGAGTTCCTGATGCTGTCCCCTGAGCACTGTGCATGTTGCTTGGTAATGTGTTGAGAATAATAGAGTGGAGAGGGGGTATTAATTAACATCCATTGCATAGTATTATCATAACTATTACATACAAGATAACTTTATGATCTCATTTAAGTGTTAATGAAGACTGTACAGGAACAACTCACATGGGTTTTACATACATCTCAACTATATGGAGAATCTGGAAGGGTTCCTTATGGAACCTTTATAGAAAGTGACATTTAAGCTGAGGTATAGACAGAAATGAAAACAGGCATGGATCTTTATTTATTGCACTACTTTTCCAGGGTCTGTGCATACTATATTCTGTAAGATCTTAGGTCACAGGTTTTCCTCTATGGTTTTCTGCTCTTGTGTAGCTTCCCCTTAAATGTGTTCATGGTGCCCTGCTGTGTCCATCATACTTTAATTGTTCTTGTTTAACAAAAGGATAGCTCATTCCTCTGTGGAAGCTACCTCACACATCTCTACCATTTACTGAGTCTTCACTGGTATTGTATATGTTCAGTAGATGTCAGATAACATAAGCCAAGACTCTTTCCAAAAGTATTACTTTACCTTTGTTATGTCAAAACACCATGACCAAGGCAACTTATAAAAGAAAGCATTCAATTAGGCTTATGGTTTCAGAGGGATCAAATCCTGGAAAGCAAAGCAAAGGAGTGGCAGGAACAGTTGAGAGTTCAAATTTGGATCCCCAGATAGGAAGCAGAGGGCACATTGGGGAAGGGAGTCTTTTGAAACTTCAAAGCCTGCCCCCAGTGACACTTCCTCCAACAAGACCACACCTCTCAATCCTTCCCAAACAGTTCCAGCAACATAGGACTAAATATTCAAACATGGGAGCCTATGGGGCCATTCTTATTTAAACTGCCACACTAATATAGCAGTTTATCAGGATTTCTGTATCTATGTCATTGACATTAACATACTATAAATTGACCATTCTCATTTTCATAGCAGTGATGACTGGATCCTTTGAATTATACTACAATAGTAGATCTATTCTTAGAAATGTTGGAAATCAGAGGAATGTTGGAAGAAATGTTGCTTAGTCAGTAAAAATCCCAATATATACTGTCTGGTAGCAATATTTATGCTTGTACCATTGCTCAGATAGACCTCATGAGGGTATGAAGCTGGGGAAACTGGGGCTGTTATACCTGAGATGGCAACCTTAGTGGTCAATCATAGGAAACAGGTACACAGTACCTTCCTGGGCTCTTTCTTGGCAAAGAGTTATAAAGTGATGACTCTGAAAACTTACCATACATCAGAATGACATGGCAGACTTGACAAAATGTGCTATATCCTGCTCCCAAAGATTCTAGCATGGACCCTCAGCTTCATTTGTATACAATGAAGTTGTAGGGCTGCTGATCTCCTGGGCTGGAGTTTAGGCGGCACCACTGATGTGTGATAGGAGCGACTAAGGAGAGCAGCTTTGGAGGCATCTAATGAGATCTGCACAGGTGGCATTACTGGCAGCCATGTGCCTCCTGCGGCCCCATGCCGGGGAATTTGCACCATTACTGCCAGTGCTTTCATCTGCTCCCATGCTATTTATTCTTTAATTACATTAAAAGACCTGTTCTGTCTGCGAGCCTGGTTCAGCCAGTGTCTCTGTGACAACCACAGGGCTGTAATTATAACAAATGATGATGTGTATCTTTTTCATTGTTTCAGGGGGATCACAATTCAGACGTTCATCAGATCACAAGAGAAAGAGATGAGCTTCAGCGAATGCTAGAAAGATTTGAAAAGTACATGGAGGATATACAGTCCAATGTGAAACTGCTCACAGCGGAAAGGGATAAACTCAGTGTCTTGTATAACGAAGTAAGCAATTGGTCCCAATTAATCCAACAGGTCATTTAAAATCAGTTGGCTGTAATGGAATCACTGTGAGTCCTGCATGTTTTCCCAGCACGTGGGACTCATGATTTCCCTTCCCAATTAAGATGAAAAGTAGTAGTAGTTTTGACTGTCATCTTCTTCTCAAAACAGATACTTCTCTTTTATGTTTGTTCTCCCTCTTTTCTAGCTTATCAGTGTGCCAGGTCAGTTATATTCTCTTTGTTCTAAAACTAACTGAACAGACCTTAGCTGTCTCTGTACCAAAATTTTCTTCAGCTTTAGACATGCTATCACATATCTGAATCTCAGGGATAAACTGGTTATACAGCCACTGTTTGAAATACTAGCTCTCAGTTAGCCTCTATGTGTAGAAGGAAGTTTCTGTCCCACCCAGTCCTGTAGCCACTTAGTTCCAAATAAACACACAGAGGCTTGTATTAATTATAAAGTGTTTGGCCCATTGTTCAGGCTTATTACTATCTAGCTCTTACAACTTAAATTAACCCATAATTCTTATCTGTGTTTAGCCATGTGACTTGGTACCTTTTCTCAGTAAGATGTTCTCATCTTGCTTCCTCTGCACCTGACTGGCAACTGTGTCTCTGCCTTTCCCCTTCCCAGAATTCTCCTAGTCTGCTAGCCCCTCCTATACTTCCTGCCTGACTGCAGGCCAATCAGCCTTTTATTAAACCAATATGAGGGACAAATCTTTACAGTGAATGAGAGCACTATCCCACATCATCTGTGTATGAGGAGATGACTCAGTTGTTCGAGTGCCTGCCACACAAGCTTGAGGACCTGAGGTCAGATCCCAACACATGAAAGCAGCATGGTGGCTCTCATCTATAATCTTAGCACTTGAGGGGCCAAGACAAGTGGGTCTCCAGAGCCTATTAGCCTAGGCTAGCCAGTCTGTGAGAGACGGTGGTGCATGCATGCTCTGAGCTTTGCTCCTGGGGAAAATCTACTCTGGAGAGGCCAGCACTGCCACAGCTTGGCCCACTACGGAGTCTGAGCTGGCACAGAGGGTGAGTTGACTGAACAAATCCTGGAGTCTGGTTTGTTGCACACCTATCTCTTATGAAGTCCCTTACTATTTTGACAGGAGGGATAGACATGTAAGTTAAAAGAGACATTGACTTTTGTGAGTGTTTCTAGTACCCACTTCTGAAGTTTCCCCACAGTAGACTTAGCTCTCAGCTTTCTTGAGTCTACCTAGTTAATTTTTCTCTGCTGTCTGCTTCTAGTTTCCAGTGTTTTGTGGCTGCATTTTCTCTTAGTCTTCTTGCCTTTGGGACTTTAGTGTTCCATTTTAACCCTTTTAATCTTATATTTATTGGTTTTGGGGAAGAAAAAGGAAGTAGCAGGTATTTAATGTATCCTTACCCCATACCCTTTTTAAAATGATGGACTATATCCGAAGTACTTTTCTATCTTCTAATGCATCAAGGCAAAGGAAGAGTTATCTGCCCTGAAAGAGGATTCCTCAAATAAGACAGTCTCCAACAGTCGTGTTAGTTGTATGGAAAAGGAGAAAGAGCGCGTATTATCTGACTTACGAAGAATTACAGCAGAAAAGGAAGCTCTAAGAGAAAAGTTGAAAGTAAGTAATTCAGTTTGCATCATTTTGAAAGGCACCTGTTGACTGTGCCCTCCCCGACTGCCTTCCTTTGTAACTGCACTTTCCTGTGAAGTTTCTGTGGAGAACACACATGGAGCTGGGGCTTGCATAGCAGCATGCCAGCCCAAGCTGAGCTGCCTCGTTTGTGTGTGACGGTAGCTAGAATTATTCCATCATGGATAAAGTGCTGTCCATAGCTGCTTTCATATCATGGTAGCAGAGTTGGGAAGTCACAGCAGACAAATCCCAAGACATTCCTATTCAGTCCTTGCAAAAGAACCAAGCCACACCCTGAACTCGGGATTGTTGTAGGTCAATAGGTCAATAGTAGTGTTCTTTTCTTCTTTACATAATGACAATGGTTATTTTTCACCTAGCAGACAATTTACCCATTTAATGAAAGGGATAGTTCAGTGGCTCTTGCTATCCCTTTTCTCCCTATTTTTCTTTTATAATTTGCACCATAATTAATCTTAGAAAAACTCATTATCACAGACCAAAACCTTGTATCCATTATAATAGCTTCAGCTTTCCTTAGCCTGCTCATCTGTGAGCAATACTGATTCACTTTCTGCCTCTCTGCCTCTGCCTTCTCTGGACATTTCATGTGAACTGAATCATTAAACATGGGTTGGTTTTTTTCATTTTGTGGTGTTGGGCATTGAACCCAGAGTCTAGCATGTACAAGACAATCACTCAACCCCTGAACTACATCCCAAATCCACATGTGTGTTTTAATGTTTGGTGTCTCTCATCTTGATATCTTTAAGGTTCACCCATGAGTAATGTTTGTATGTGTTTGTGTGAAGTTTTTGTTTCTCTTGGGTAGATTATAATTCTTAGAATTGCTCCCTAGTAAGTGTATTAATATATACAAAGCATTATCTCATAGCATATCCACATAGTTAGTTCTGAGTGTTCTTATTGTGGAAGCCATAGTTACTTCCAGTTAATATCATGAAATAAATGCATTGCAGCTAACCACTAAAATTAGGAACAAAAAATAAACACTTTATGCATAGTCTTTATGCTACAAATTTTCAGTTAAAGTTATATACCCAAAGACAGTGTAAGAATGTTTTTAATTAGAGTCTTTTGGAGTGCTGCCTTCTAGAAAAAAAAAAAAATCAGTTAAAATTACCAGAGAGAAAACTTCTGTTCAATATGGCATCCGTTAGCACAGCCACTCACTTACCCTTTTCCATATCTGTTGTAATGACCAGAAATGTAAAAATAGACTTTTAAAAAACCATATTAGTACTAGCAGCTAAGAAAAACAGCATTGAGATTAGCAGAACCCTTCTGGGTTGTAGGAGGTGGGCTTTTGTGAATTTCCAAGAGACCTTTCCTTTGAAAACAACACTATTCATCTGACTCCTCCAGCCTTCTGGAGTGTTTCCTGTCCGTCTTCCCAGAAGCCATTATGACTAAGCTCTCCCTGAAAGCTCGAGTGACAGCTGTCAACCAAGGCCATCAGTGCTGCCTCCTGAACAGCTAAGCCTTTTCCTCAGAAGGGTTCTGTTCCAAGTGCTTTTAACTGTCACAGTAGTTCTTCACAAAAGCCTTTTCTGATAGTTTCTGTTTACAGATAGAGACCTGAGTTATGATGAACTTAAATGTCTTGCCTAGCCTCACCCATCTGTATTTACCTGTCCATGTGTCTCCCCACCTTCTGCCCCACCTTGTTATGATTATCCTCTCACATGCATTATTATAGTGGGACCCTTTGTGCTCTGATGCATGTTTAACATTGATTTTAGACTCGCCTTTTAATGATGTAAATCTGGTCATGCTACTTCTAGTAAAGTTCATTACTTGTTGCAAGACCATTAGCAGTCACCCTGGCCTGTCATCTTTTTCCCAGCACTCATTTTTGCTATTTCCTACTCCTTTTCTTTCAAGGCCCCTGGCTTAAGAGACCATTTCTTGACATAAATTTTCTACACAGACAATCCTCCACCTCGTCAAATGTCCTTCTTTCTCTGCCTTGACTTGCCCTTTAATCCCAGGTTAAACATCAGAGAGTGAGCACCACATTCTAGATCCATTTTGATATGAAAACAAAGCTCCTTGCCTAGAAGCAAATTTACTTGTTTATATTTATTTTCCTTTATGCTTGAGAATTTCATGCATGTATAACAATGAAATATGATCATACATATTCTTAACCCCTCTCTAGCCCCCTTGTTTCAATTTTTCTTTAAAAAAATAATAACTCACTAACTCAGTTAGTACTGCCTATATGTGTGTAGTTTGGGGCATAGGAATCCTATCAGTGATTACAAAAGAATGATTCCCCCTCCTCAAACTATCAACTGCCAATAGCTCCTCAGTAAAGGGTGTGGCCTGAAGATCATATATCCCATTTATGCAACAGTCTTGGCTGGCTTGATTTTCTGTATGCCTTGTGCACATAATCCCAGCAGCTGGGAGGGCATGGGCGTGATGGCCATGCCATGTCCAGACTATAGCCTTTCACAGCACCCTTCCCATCTTCCAGCTCTCATGTCCTTCCTGCCTCCCCTCCTGTGATGTCCCCTATCCTCTGTGGGTGTGAGGGGTTGATATAAATGTCCAGGGTAAGGCTCTGATTCTCTGCAGTTAGGCAGTTGTGCATCAGGAGAGAAGCCCAGCTGTGTAGGTATGTAGGCACTTTGACAGCATGGCTATTTAGAACATTAGCACAGTAGCTGGTTCTACCCTGCAGACCATGACCTCAGCTTTGGGCCTTTGATCAGGCTACAGCATCAGACATGTAGTTCCCATGTGTGGTACAGGCCTAGAGTAATGAGAAAGGAGTTACCTGTAACAGCCACATCACTGTTGCCCTAGTGGCATGTCTTACCTGGCAAGTGAGTGTTGCAGCATGCAAAGTCCAGGGCTGGGAGTGACTCTTGCTGTCACCCTTCCTTCAGCAACCTGCATCGCACCTCTAGCACCATTTATTTATTTTGAGACAGGGTCTTGTGTATCTCAGGCTGATGTAAACTTGCTTTAGAACTGAGGATCACCTTGAACTCTTGACCTCCTGCCTTATTAGTTTCTTGTTTTAGGTCTGTCTTTTTTTTATGAGGCTGTATGTAATCTACATTGTCAGAGACTTTACTCATGGCTGCTCCCTAACACCTTGCTTGGTGTTTGGTATAGAGCATATATCAGCACTGTTGAAGTGATTTAATTAACACAGCAGTGATCCCTTTAACTAGATCTACAATGCAAATATCAAATATAGCTTCCTAAGGAATAGCATGAATATGAGTATACATCTTCACTAGGAAAACTCAGCGATCATTGCATTATGTGTCTTGGCAGTAGTTGGGACTTATGTGATGCAATATAACCAGAAAATGAGCCTTCTACTGTATCCTGACCAGCCAGTTCTTACAACTGGTCTTACTGCTGTCTTCCTGATTGTGTGTATGTCCTGTTTTGTTTTTTTTTTTGTTTTTTGGTTTTTTTTTTTTTTTTTTTTTTTTATTTTTTTTTTTTTGAACATTTTTTTTTTTTTTTTTTTTTTTTTTTTTTTTTTTTTTTGAACATCTGAGTTCTAGCTCAGCAGTAGAGCTATAACCTAGTTTGAGGAGTCAGCAGCACTGTAAGAAATAAATAGAGGGAGAGGGACATATATCTCCCCATGTGAGGGCGCATTCATGCCCCCGTGATTTGGTGTGCTGTTCTCAGTATGATGCCTGTGTTAACAAGGATCCATCCACCTACGTCTTTTTTAAATGAGTCCACTCCCTTTTCTTTTCTGTGTGACACATGAATGTCGGAAATGTTAACTTTCTAACTGAAAGAATGCTTTTATAAAATGTCTGACCTTTCTAGAACATTCATAGATTCTATGAAATAGGACACATATCTCTGCAACCTGATGTTACTTTACTTTTGTGATTGACACAAATAAACATTTTCTATAAAATTCTTTTTTAGAATATCCAAGAAATGAATGTTTTTGGGAACTCGGAATTGGAGAAAACTATTGAACATTTAACATATATGAATCACCAGGTAATTTCTCAAAGGATTTGGGGCATATTATATTAGATAAATGACTGTGCCAGTGATGCTCTTAATATACTGTATATTTTTTTGAAAACTAATATGTAAGGGGGAGGAGGGTGTGCTCTGAGACTTGTTACTTGGTTCAAATCTGGCTCCTATCTAGACCAGTTTCTTTGCTCTTCTGTCTCCGACAGGTTTTAATTTATGATGTAAAACTAGTAATTATTTCTCGGGCTTTCTGTGAAAATGTAATGGGTGAACAACACACATGCCACAGTGGTAGTGGCTAGCTGTGGTTATTGTGGTTTGGTGTTATAAATGCAATTATAGGATGCAGACAGACTAAAAAGTGAAGCTCACTGGTAATTTTCTTTATAATTAGCCCTTAGTACCTGTGAGATATTGCTCCCAGGACTTCTTCAGATACCCAAGGCAGAAGACTCTCAAGTTTGTTTTATGTTTGTTTTTTTTTTTATAATATTGCATGTAACCTATATGTCCTCCCATATTCTTTAAACTACATTTAGATTTCTTACAGTACTTTAACCATATAATGCCTTATACATTGTAATGTACAACATACAGAAACACAGATCAGTGAGTAAAGAATGATTATTGAATGAATGGCTATATATATTAAGATACAGAGAATAAGAAATTGGCTCCTGCCTGAAATACCCAGACATGATTTTAAGATTATTTACAGCTAGCTAGTCAAGGCTGAAGCACGAGGTTCACACAAGGTCTGCTGCCAATTTGAGCAGTAGCCAGGCCACTGAGAAACAGGGAAGCACCCATTCCTTCCTCAAAGCCTAGTCTTTCACAGGTTTATATTTGTATACCAGAGGTGAGCATGGGCCAGCCAAGCTCTCAGGACTTCTTATCCTGTTACAAAGTCTGTGACGCCTTTTTAGTGTGGCTACTTTCTTCAATCTGCCATCCCCTTGTTGGCCTCAATACTCGCATTTGTTTTCTGGCTGAACTGCTGTTTGCTGCCAGTTCTCACTGTAAACCTGGCTAAAGGTTGCCAGAAATAACCAAGCCACAGCATGAGTGCTTGACTACTTAACCTTTTCTTCTCCAGGTTAATTAGCATCTCCATATTGACGTGGTAACAGGTCTCAGGGAATGTACAAAATATTACAGTGTAATCCACAGGGCTTCTAGTCCTTTGTTCTCCAGCGTCCTTCCCCTCCAAAACCTATGAACCTGGCCTTTAGCTGTCCACATTCCCGTTAGCATTCTGAACCATGGCAATCAGAGAACCATGAAGATGGGAGGCAGGGAACATGATGCCATACCCAGCAACCTGCTTGCTTCTACCAGACCTTACTTCCTGAAGTTGCCACCACCTCCCCAAAAAGTGCCTCTAGCTGGGACCAAGGCTTCAACACTGGAGTCTGTAGTGAACATTTCATGTTCAAACCACAGCAGGAATGATAATGGCAACTGCATGTTGTCAACAGTTAATTTCTAGATATGTATTCCATATGAAAGGTCAGCAAGCTACAGTTCCCAGACCAAATGCACCAATTGCATTTTAGTGAAGATACTGACCACCTCATCTGCTGTGTGTCTGTCAATATTAACTATCTATTATTGTGCTTCAATGAAGTGGTGGTGACTGATGATAGATCCCACAAGGCCTAAAGTATTTATTTGAATGAATATGTGATTATAAGTCATACAGTAGAGTGCTATTAAGCAGAAATACAATGAAAGTTACGAACATCAACATGTATGACTGGTACAAATGCCTGTTGCACCAAAACAGTATGTTACAGAAGAAAGCATGTAGTCTGAGTTCACTCATCTAAAGTTCAGAAAAAAGCAAAACTAAGCAGTGCATGGCTTAGGAAGGCATGCCACCATGATGCACTGACTAAAAGCAAGGTGCTTAGTGCTGTGGTGCATGCCTGTAGATTGAGCATGTGGGAGGCTGAAGCAGGGTGATCATTTGAGTGTAGGAGGTCAAGGACAACCTTGGACCATAGCAAGATCCCATTTGAAAAACAAAACAGAAAAGAAAGAAGATCCAGGATTATAGGTTTGTGTGGCAGAAAAAGGATGTGACTAAGGCCTGCCCATGGAAGGTCAGATAATATTTTTTAACAGATACTCTTTTTATTTTTATGATTTCTTCATATTGTATATACTCATATGGGGAAAATAGGCATATTTGCTTGTTCATTTCTACATGAAGTATGGTTTTAATTACAATAGCAGTATTATTTATTTCAGTATCTCTTTGGTAAATTTATTTGCATTCTTTCACTCCCAATTTGTCTTTCTGTTTTTTTTTTTTTTTTTTTTTTTTTTCTAAAAGAATTTTAGCATAAAGTGTAAGGTACCATCCTTTTTTTTAAAAAAAAAAAAGCAATCCAGTTAGGAATTGCTTTTATTGGCATTTCATTGAATTTTTAATTTGGTGAAATTTTAATATATTTAAAGTATTACGGTCCTACCCAAAGAAGCATGGCACTCTCAATAGAGAGTCAGGTCTTATTTTATGCATTCAAGGAAAACGCTTACTTTGTTTCTCAAATAAATCTCAACCTTTTTGTGGTTACATTCTTTTCAGCTCTCAGTTTTGTATAATTCTTGTCTACTTATTGCAGGTTTGGATTGGTTGGGGGGGGCAGTCTATTCATTCTAAAAGCTGGAAGTGAACCATAGAGTTTTTTGTGGGTTTTGTTTGTGTTATAGGAAGTACCTTTGATTTTTAATGTGGCTTGTCATCTCCCTTCCTGTTTCATTGCTGTCATTTATGTTTTACTGTCTTCACTGTAATAATAGTGAGGAAAGGCAAGTGGATGCACTCATCTTCACATCTCAATCTTAAGAGTACAGATGATGTTCAGTGTTTGAAAAATCTAACATATTTTCATAATTGTCTTCCAGAAATATTATCAAAGAGTAACTATAAAAAATAAGACATACATTACCATATATATGCTTATTAATGTTTTAAATTTAAATTGTAGTTTGAAAATGAAAAATATGAATTGCAATCTAAAATATTAGCAATGAAAGAAACAGTAGAGTCATTACAGAACAAAGCAAAACTCCAAGCTCAAAAGCTTAGCCATGTGACTGGCGACTCATCCCATCAGAAAACCGAGATGAACTCTCTTAGGTAAGTCTGTAAAGATTTGTTGCTTCACCTCTGGACATGCTTCTTTGGTTATGCAGTACTAACCATGGTGTTCTGCTCTGTGTCTTTGAACAGTAGTTTCTAAGTTGGCCTCATAGCTCAGTCTTCCTGGAGCCATTAGGAGGGGTGGAGGGAAGTCAGGAGGTCTGACTTAGTGAGTGTGTCTGGAGAGGACTGGGTATCCATAGTTCTGAAACTCTCACTAGTTGATATGATCTCCAGAAGTTGTCGACACCTTAGTAAGTACTTGAGATTCTGTGCTCTGTAGGGAAGGGCTGCTCCTGGGCTCTTAGAACCTCCTCTACATGGGCCATTCCCTCCTTTTTCTTGCCTTTTTCAAAGTAATAGGAATTCCAAATGTTTTAATGTCTTCTTTTAACCTTTTCTGATTTAGAAAATGCAAAATTAGCCCAGGGGCAGGAAAGCTAACTCTGATAGCACACGGAGCATGAATTTGAGACAAGTGATAAGCAACAAAGGTCATGGGTCAGGATTGAGACAGTAGCTATGAACTTTGAGGACAAAAGGCAAATTTAAGAAAGTTTTCTTTCATAAAATCAAAAGGTGACTTATATGGGAGTCCATATTGTATCATTGGTTAGCCATTCATCAGTTTCAAGTATATAAAATTTAAAGAAATAAAAGCAGGCTGTGTTAGCTCCCGCCATTGTAAAGCTATCATAAGCAAAAATGACTAAATAAATAAAACAGAAGGTAACTGAAGGTTAGGAGAAAGGCTCTGCTCTGAAGAGTCGAGGAATCTCTTTGTCTTAGTTATATCAACCCTAAAAATTAGGAAGAAATTTTCAAATGTCAACAAAATTTTTATCTATGAAACTCAGTAATGAAGCAGTAACTGCAATCAAATTCTAGTGATAACAGTTTTAAAAGGGTTGATTAAATTACAACGGGAAGGTTATTGGGCAGTAAATACTGTAGAAAATTAATGAGTTCAAGAATTTCACCTACAGTTCAGAAAGACAAAAAGAGATGAAATAAAACAGACCCTGTGTACAAAACCAGGAATCACAACAAGATAATAGAAAACTAGAGAGAGACTATCTCTAAGAACAGTGTGTCTTTCACATTCTATTGGTAAAAACTTGAGTTCAAGATATCAGGTCTAAATTCAGCAATACACACCACAAATAAAACCTTTAGAGAAGTGGAAGTACATTGTCTAAACCTTGTGCTGTTTTCAGTGTAGTTTGTAGATTATTCCTTTAATCCCATGGTGTCCGATACAAGAAGCTGATTCTCAGGTAGATGAGGTCCATGCTCCTTTGTACCTCCTGGGCCATCTTCTCTTTCCCTTCCTGTGTTAGGAACTGTCCTCACCAAATCTCCACGCTTTCAAACAGGCCTCCTGGATCAGGCACAACTCTCGTGGTAGAAATAGAGGGTCTTTGGTCTGGTTTCTTGGTGTAGCATCAGAAGACAGTATGAAAACTGCAGTTTGAAAATGTTAATGACTCCTGTCTCTCTTGTACTGCAGTATTTAATGGTCTAGCAGTTTATAACCTAACCCTAACATCCTCAGTATAATAAGGGAATGTCTGTGTGCTGGGATGATGACAACTAATGCCCCCCCCCCCATACTAGCCAGAGCTGGATCAGCAAGCTTGCTGACCATGTAGGCCATGAAGTTTGTTCTCACCTTTAAAAACTGGCTTCAGACATGAAAAAGTCACTGTAAGCCACATGTAAGTGGATGAGCATGGTTCTATTCCAATACAGTTTTATTTGGATTTCATTTAATTTTCATGTCACATGTTTTCCTGTGAAAAGTTTTTTCGCTTACATAAACATAAAAACTCTTTGCAACTAGAAAGAAATAAGCAACAGGCCATAGTTTGTATAACCCTTGCTCAAGGACAAACTGTTTTCTAGCCCAATTAGACAATTCACTTTTCTCCATAACCCATGACCTCTGAGGGGGGGGATCGATGATTATGCCAATAGGTGTCAGTTGTTTTACCGGGATTTGTTTACATATATTCAGAAATATGCAGGTATATTTCAAATGTTAGAGAGATTCAGAAATACTAGATATATTCAGCTATATACAGTTAGTTTCCCTGAGAAATGTTCACTAAGGAATTAAGAGTCATTTTAAATAAGGGAAACAAGATTCATAAGCTGTGCAGGATGGATACCTAAACTGCATTTTCTTAGCACTGAGAACAAGAGTGTTGTTACTGAATGACAGCGGCTGATGCTAAGATTGTTCCATCCTTCTTCCTTTTCTGGTGGACCACGTGATACTATTCACAGCCTTCATAATGGGCTGGAACCTTGGCCTCATAGGAGAGGCTCCAAGAAAACTCACCAGTAGCTTTCCTGTAATAGGCCACTGAATTTCCAGACCTACCTCTCTTAGATGGAACTTCATTTTAGAATTTGAAACATTTATTGTGGATGAAGAAACCTTTAAGATATGTTTTAGATATACTCTGTCATGAAAGGAAATCATGAATTTTGTCCCATAAACTGAGAGTGCAGTATATAATCGGTATAATGGAACTATGGAACTATGGAATTTGAGGCTGAGTGGATATTTGAGCCAGGTCTATTAGATGGAGAGCCAGAATGAAGTTCAGTTTGACTGCTTTTTCTTTTGCTGGGAAATCATTTCTTTCCTCTGTCTATGAAACTTTTAAAGCTAAGAAACTAGTTCATTTTTACTGACAACTTTGAAGAGTTTCTTTTTGCATTTACAGTGAGTGAAGTGCCAGCTATCAGCTTCTGGTGAGCATCCCTCTTGGTTTTCCCTAGGAAGATTCTGGGTAGCAGTGCCTCAGTGAGATGTTTGTGTTGTCCCTCTCTTCTCTACACTAGAAGAGCCAAAGCCTTTTCTAGGACTCACCTAAAGGGCTTCCTTTAGATTTCTAACAGTTGCGATGCTATCCTGGCTGCCTCTATCAGCTCCTCTCCCGTGAGCAAACCACCCCATTTATAAAGTTACATTCACAGGGGTCATTAACTCTGCCTAGAGTTCTAAGCATTGCTGACCACTTACTCTTCAGCAAGGCCTCTGTGGGCCATTCCATTTTCCTGTCTGCATTCTGAGTAGAGAGCAAAATGAGGCAGCCTGGCATTGCCCATTGCCTTTTCTCTGGTAGTTTTGTGACTTTGGACAAGTAAATTATTTCTATAAACTTGGGATAATGTTTCCAATGGAACTTCTCTAGGAACATAGGTACATGGTACCTCCTCTTATGCTGTCCCCACACACAATGGCTCTAGGTTCTGGGAGCAACCATGTAGACTGCAGAAGCTTCTCAAGCGCAATTGCCTGGACTTTGTGTCTTTCTTACTTGGTTTGGTTCAGTTGTTTAGTTCTGAAGAAGTCAGTCCATCTTGATTGTCCTTCCTGCCTCTCAGTCATCAAGGTTCACTTGCTGTGAGGACACCCAGGGTAATGTTTGTTTCAGAATACCCCAGCATTTCTATAAAACTTCCTTATTTCTATACAGATATCCCATTTTACTAATTATTTTGGGAAGCAGACATCTTCCTTATTAGGCATTTCTAAGTCAAGCTGCCATTAGTATCTTCTTGAGTTTCTTGTCCTCCAAGAAAACCCTTCCTTTTGGAAGCTATTCCCCTCAAATGACCTGAGGTGAGAATGGTCCTTCCAGCCAGACCGGGATATTTGGCAGCCTGTGACTGAGAGCCAAGACTTCTGTTACAGCTTATAGGATGCTCCTTCTGAAGGGGTAGTTACTTCCCTAGTAACAGAATCTGGAGACTCTTCACCAGGACTGCCCAGCTTCCACGAATCCTTTCCCTGTCCCCCAGTCAACCTTTAGTCTGACCCCATTGCACTGTAAGACATGCCTACCTTCTCAGCATACTCTGACCTACAGCCACCTTCTGCTTGGAGTCAAAGAAGCAAAGTTACAAGCTCTCATGGTCAGGATGGTAAAGACTTATGGAGAGTCTGCAGTGTCCAACCATGTTATAAAAACGGGGCTTTCTCTTTGCCTCCACTATCAGAAAATAGGTTTTGAGGAAAAGGGTTAGGAAACAAAGGAGAACTTTAAAACTACCACAAAACTTCTAGAAGAGAATATACAATTAATTACATTTTTATACCATATTATTTTTAGGAAGATGGAACCATTTTGAAAAAGAATGGTGGGCAGCAAGATTAATATTGTATAATAGAATACCATTGATTATACTGGAAGAGCTTTAAACTAAGAAATAAAAGAAACTTAAATACATGGAAATATTTTAGGCTGCTTATTTAACAAAGCGATTTCTGTGAGAGATAAAGAATGCAATTGTTTTTGTCCACTGTTTTAGGATAGTAAATGAACAACTACAGCGTTCACTTGATGACTGTCAACACCGGCTTGCCATAAAAAGAGGTGAACATGAATCGGCCCAAGAAGAAATTAAAATTCTGGAGGAAAAACTAGGTGAGCCCTTGGAAATTTTGCTTTTGCTAACCTTGATTGCGTCCATCTAACAAGCATCCTTCTCTGTGTAGAGAAACTAAGCCATAAGATGACATCACAGGATGAAGAAGTTCACACCATGAAGAAGACCATTGGTGTGATTGACAAGGAGAAGGACTTTCTCCAGGAGACTGTCGACGAGAAGACGGAAAAGATCGCCAGCCTGCAAGAAAGCCTCACCAATAAAGTATGTGTCTGTCACACGTTCTCCGGCATCTTGGCACAAGAGACAGTTATTCTCCACTTGAAACATGCAATTCTTACTGCCCATGGGTGATTCCCGAGACCCACAGCTATCTTTGACAGATCTAAATTTCCTTCTAACCAGTAATTGGAATCCTTAAGATGGGTTCTGATACATTTCTAGAATGTGGTTTTTGTCTCATTAAGGGAACACTTTAAAGAAACCACTTCAGTTCTTAGGTGGGTAGAAACATGTCCAGATGTGACATACAGATGGATATAGAAGTGTGTTTACTTAGTGCTTGCTTTATGTGTGATTTATGTCATTAAAGTGTATATTTAGCTACTTACCATCTAAATATGGTAGATATGCAAATTTAGTAAGGATGATTCTGTATGAATGACTTTTTAGAATCTTTATGTTTCTGTGATTTCTTCAGGAGAAAGCTATTGCCCAGGTGAAGGTCACAGTCACAGAGTATGAAACGTCTTTGAAGTAAGTAATCAATGAAAGGGCATTCCGCTTGAGAACTGTTCAGAGAATGAGGGCTTACCTTGTTGGCAGTCTGGTGAGAGGAAACTGTCTCCTGTGAAGTTCCCGGTTTTGTCCCTGGAACCTTGCTTTCTCCATCCCTGCTCTGACTTGTTCTCTGCCTCTGTGGTACCCTATCGCCTGTGCTTTTATCTGCTTGCTCTTTGTGTTTATGTACTCACCTGTTCAAGTCATCATCTCATCCTAGATTGCACTGATAGCCAGTTTTTACATTTGTTCTTCAGTTAAACTTACCCTGAGCACTCTAAAAATTTTATATTTTGTGTCTGGTCTCCAGAAAGAATTTAAGCCATCTAAAAACAAAAGTCACTAATTATATTTATTTGGCATGCCTTTATGTTTTATATAATAGTGGAAATGTAAACACTAAATATTTAATGTAGCTTTATATTATGTTTTGTTCCTAACAGTTGAAAATGTTATGTTTGCTTAACTTGTGGAATAATAATATGTATTTTGTGGCTTTATTTGCATATAATGATTGATAGGAATGTAAAGTGCATGAGTGTCCAAAGGCAGCAGCTATACTCTCTGTACTCGAACACTTATTGAGATTGTTATAGTCTCATTTTAAGTAAACTAGAGTTTTCCATAATGCTTATTATTGCCACACCACTCTTCCACAGCCAGCTAAAGGACACTTTGGCTAATCGAGACCGAGAGATAAGCAGCCTTCGCCGCCAGCTTGATGTGGCTCACAAAGAGCTTGATGATGTTGGGAAGTCTAGAGAGATCTCCTTTAAGGAAAACAGAAGGCTACAAGATGACCTGGCCACGATGGCGAGGGAAAACCAGGTGTAGTACCAGGCAGAGATTTCCATGGAACTTACTTATTTGCTAAGTATTACACTTCTAAGAATGGAAGACATGGAACTCCTTGAGGGGAACAGTGGCTGTCCGAGTGTTAGCAAGGATAGTTTTAGAATGCAGCTGTCACAGGCCACCTAATCAGCACAGCTGCAGTCTCCTCCATTTGGAGTTGAACTTTTTTCACACTTGAGTTTGTTTGTTTGTTTGTTTTGTTTTGTTTGACATAGGGTCACATATAGCCCAGGTTGGCCTTGAAATCCCTATGTAGCCAAGGGCTGGTCCTGACCCTCATCTCTGGCCCCTCAAATGTGGTATTGACAGGTATGTGTCACCAGGCCTGATACCATTTGGTTTTTGTTGCTAGGGAGCATAGCTTTCTCTGTAATGGAAGTTATTGTCACAGCATTGGGTGAGGACAGCAGAGTCACCCTTAGGGCAACTTTTCTCTATTTACAAAGGACCCATGACAAGTTTTAGTAGTTTGTGCTTACTTCCATTATATTAGAGATACATCTGTAGTTAAGTAAAGAGATATTTTAAATGGCAAATATTGTAAGGTAGTAGTTTTGTTTTTAATGGTATATTACAGGATTATGCTCTAAGGACCAATGATTTCTCTTATATTTAGAAAATTACTTTTAGTATTACTCAATATAAATCACATGGTAGATATGTTAACTTTTTTTATGTCAACTACTGACCATAACTGGCCCCGATGTAAAATCAAATGCAAGGGCAATACTGTCATGGGAGCCTTGTGGAAAAGTTTGCTGAAAAGTCCAGATCAGGGATGGGGAGATGGCCCAGTGGGTAAGAATGCTTGCTGTGAAATGAAAGTCGGAGGTTCTGAGTTCAAATCCTCTATACCTATACAAAAGCCTGGCATGACTGCCTGCCACTCCCAAGTTGGGGGTCATAGAGTAGCAGCTCTCAGGAGCTTGTTGAAAGGCCTGTCTTGAGAGAATGCGGGAGACGAATGGTAATGAAGGATGCCTGGCATCCTCCTCTGCTCTCTATCTGTGCACATGAGCTATGTGCATAACACACACACACACAGTCACTCAGAGAAATACATGAAAATAACACAGTAGAGATTTTCCCCTTGTTTCGATTCCAAAGGATATATTTGACATGACCAAAGCTTGATGCTGGCTCTGTCTTGCCTGACTGACTTATAGGAAATCTCGATGGAACTGGAAGCAGCGATACAAGACAAAGAAGAGATGAAGAATAGAGTTCACAAGTACATCACCGAGGTGTCGCGGTGGGAGAGCCTGATGGCTGCAAAGGTGAGTCGGCTTGCATTTCACTCTAGTTTCTAAGAACTCTCTTTTGTCTTTAATTCTGCCTCTGGTATAAGATACTGGACATTTGATATTCCATTTGAGAGTAGAGGTCTTTCCTACTAACTTTATATTTCTGCCCATGGACCTTAGTGTAGTGCCAATACACATACTGATGTTTCCTAAGTTCAAGCAGTTCCCTGTGGTGTGTCTGTATTTATGATATACACGTTCCATTGACAGTATCGACTTAGAAATAACGTAATTGTTCTTAAACTAGGAAAATGAAAACAAAGACTTACTAGACAGATTCCAGATGCTTCACAACCGTGCTGAGGACTGGGAGATCAAAGCCCAGCAAGCTGAAGGGGAGAATAGCTCGGTCCGCCTGGAGCTGCTGTCCATCGACACAGAGAGGAGACACCTTCGAGAACGAGTAGAGCTCCTCGAGAAGGAAATCCAGGAGGTAATGCTTCGCTGTCCAGGGAAGAAACCACTCAGCAAATGACACACTTAGAGGCATGAGATGGCCCAGAGTGTGGGAAGGAAGCCTCATTGTGAGGGAGGGTACAGACAGAACTATCAAGCCAAGAAGCCAGACTTAATGGCTTTCAGAGGTATTTCAGCATGCCCATAATACCCTGAGGCAGCCAGTAGTGTGACTGGATAACTTGAGGGTGGAAGCCACCAGAAGCCATAGGACTTAGGATTGGGGCTAGCGGTAGTCCCACTGTCCCTGAGGATTAAGAAAGTGAGCCCATCCTGGGAGACCCAGGGACAGTGTATTAGGGTCACAGATAGTTACCTCTAAGACTTGAAACTGAATAGAAGTTGTCCTGCTTGATTACAGACTTACCTTGGACTAGGGCTATGGTTGGCATCTTACACATCTCCTAAAGACCTGTGGGCTAAAGACTTGGTCACCAGCCTGCGATGTTACTGCAAGGGGAAGTGGAACCTCACTGAGGAAGTTAGCTCTCTGACCTTGTTGACAGTGGTGTCTTTGCAGATGTGGTTAAGGTTAGATGGTGCTGGGAAAGGTAGACCATGTCTTAGATAAGGGAAAGTTGGGATATGGGAGAGCAGTGTGAAATCACAGGAGACAGAGATGCCCACAAGACAAACACCAAACCACAAACACCATAGAGTTGTCTGCTTCAGAGTCTCCAGAAGGAGCTAGCCCTGATAACTTGACATCTGGGTTTGCAGGGCTAGAGCAATGGCTCAGTAGTTAAGACCTCTGACTGCCCTGTCAGAGAACTTGGGCTCACAACAATGCCTAACTCCAGTTTTAAGGGGATCTGATGCCCTCTTCTGGGCTCTGTGGGCACTGCATGCACATGGTGTACAGACTTCAGGCAAAATACCCTTAACACATAAAGTTAAAGAGAGAGAGAGAGAGAGAGAGAGAGAGAGAGAGAGAGAGAGAGAGAGAGAGAGAGAGAGAGAGAGAGAGAGAGATACCATAATCGAGGGAACCACTGTAGGTTTGAAGAGAAAACTGACTCTAGAGAAATGTCCAGAGCCCTACAAGGATGACCACAACTAACAATCTGAGCAACATTGGAAAGACTACCTTAAATGCCCTTCCCTGATAATGAGATTGATGACTAACTTATATGCCGTCATAAAGCCCTCAGCTGGTAGCTGATGGAAACAGAAGCAGACACCCACAACTAAACACTGACCTGAACTCCTGGAATCCAATTACAGAGAAGGAGGAGTGATAAGAAAAGGGGTCAAAACCAGGATACAGAAACACACATAGACAGCTGACCTGAACAAGGAGGATCTAATGAGCCCCCAGACTGACAGCTGGGAATCCAGTATGGGACTGACTCAGACCCCCTGAACATAGGTCTCAGTTAGAAGGCCTGGGCAGTTTAAGGGACCTCTGACTCTAGAACCAGGATGTATCCCTGGTGCATGAAAGGATTTTGGGAGCACATACCCCATGGAGGAATACTTCCTTAGCCTAGAGGCAAGAGGGAGGATCTAGTCCCTACCCCAAATGACTTCACAGATTTTGATGATCCCTCCTGGAAGGCATCACCCTCCCTGTGGAGTTGGGGGGGGGATGGGATGGGAGGAGGGCCAGGGGTATGGGAGGGAGGGAGAGGGAACTGGGATCAATATGTAAAATAAGAAAAAATTTTATATATATATATATATATGTATATATAATTTTATATTTTAATATATACATACATACATACACATACATATATATGTACATATATATATGTACATATATATATGTTATAAAGTCATCATGAAACTACAACAACAAAAAACCCGCAAAAAAGAAAAAGGAATAATGGCTTGCCACCTCCAGATCTGAAGGGGAAATGATGCCATTCAGGATTATTAGTGACGTTTCTGTCATTGTGATAAAACACCATGACCTGAAGGAACTTAGAGGAGAAAGTTTATTTTGGTTTCCAGATCCAGGAGAATCCATAACAGGGGTCAAGGGAGGCCTGGCAGCAGGAGGCAGGAACAGGGAGCTGAGGTCACACCGTCAGCCACACATAGAAAGCAGAGAGTAAGCAAGGAGTGGGCAAGATTGTAAACTCTCAAGGCCCATCCCCAGTGATGTCCTTCCTCTATCAAGCCTCCTTGTCCCCAAATTTCCATAGTCTCCCGAGCACCACCAAATGGGGACCAGGTTCAACTTTATGAGCCTATGGGGGCCACCAAACCAAAGCATCACACCCATTTTGCAGCAGTCTGTAATGACAGGCCTCCACACTATAGAAGAACTACAGATTCTGTATTAACGAAATGCTTCTCTACTTTTAATAGTGTCTCTGGCGAGACCTTAATGTTTTATTCTTTATTATTGTTAATATTCTTATGTGATGTATAAAATGGGTTGTTACAGGTTTTTTGTTTTGTTTTGTTTGTTTTTATAGTTCGGAGGCTGGAACTCTGGGCCTTTGTGCCTGCTAGGACAGTGTCCTACCTGTGAACCACATTGTTAGTCTGGCTTCATGTGCTTGTGTTTGTTTGCTCAGTGTACTAATATTGAAAAATTCAAGTGTTTACTTTTTTGTAGCTATGATATCTAAGAATCTTCATTGTACAATATTGGCTTTTAATTGATTTCTGTGAACTATACTAAAAGAAAAAATTAGCCTTTTAAGAGTGGCTGTCTTCCTGAAACACCAAAGTGGAATTTACATAAATTAATAACTATTGCATAATTTTAAATGATAAGAAGTTTAAAGTGGGTTAATTTAGGAAAGTCTTATCAGTATTTCAATTTTTTCATTATTTCAAAATTACTGAAATCTTATAAAGTTGGCCAATGAAACTAAACTAAATTTAATTATAAATTCAAGGATTTAGTTTTAAAATAAACTCTAGTTTTAAAGTTTTGAATTTAAAAGAATGATTTGGAAATATATATAAGTATATTCACATAAAATGTTACTATTTCATGAGAAAATACTATTATAACAAGGAATATTTATGAAAAAAACCTTTAAAATCATATTCACACTATTTTAGCATAATTTTCATGTTTGTTTCTTCTAAATGTATACATGAGATATTTAGTCATGATAATTAATAATTATATGTTCTTCCTTTTGCGCGTGTTAAGTAGGCCATCTTAAAATAGCACATTACTTCCTGAGAATGTTATAGCATGTATACAAATTGGCACTTGTTTTTCTGAAGTGTATTTGTGGACACACAAGTTCCTGAAGCTGTCTTTGAAGGCTTGCACTCAAATGACTGGATCTTCATGCTTTGCTTTCTTTACTCAGCACATAAATGCACATCATGCTTACGAGTCTCAGATCTCATCAATGGCAAAAGCCATGGCTCGGTTAGAAGAAGAACTGCGATGTCTTGAAAATGAGAAGGCAACAGTGTTAAGTGATATGTCATCTCTCCGAGAACTTTGCATTAAGCTCGACACGGGCAAAGACCTCATGACCCAACAGCTGAATTCCAAAAGTTTGGATCTGGAGAGGGTAGGTGCTGAGACAGTGTCGGGCACATTGCTTTGTGGGACCCTTTAGGCACGGTTGCACTTTACGTTCCCTTTTCGTGTGTTCTCCGTTAGGTCGTTTTGACAGCAAGGTTTTGATAACTCAATATGACTACAGATTCTCTGCCAAGATTTTCTGTCAAGCATAAGGATGAGCTGGGATGTAGTTTAGTGGCGAGTCCTCGCCTTCGTGCATGATGTTCTGGGTTTGGTCCCAGTGCTATAAGAAAATAAAAAGGATAAAATTGGGTTTGAAATAGATGGTACTTAACACATTAGGCATTTTCGAACTGTAGATCAGGAACATACATTCTTTTTCTGTCTAAAAGTAAAATTTGATTGAAAGATTAAACAGTTTTTTTTTTTCTGAGTGAAATAGTTGAATTTTTCTTGATTTAAAAAAAAAAATCTCAAGGCATTTAAATTATTAATTAACTAAATCTCCTTTACTGGACTTCCCCATTCCCAAATTGAGACAAGCTGGTGTGTGCTCTCACAGGAGTATATCTTTAGGGTTTACTTGCCAGTCCATGTACTGAGAATAACGATACTAGTTTGACTTAGTGGTCAAAGAGTAAGCCTACTGCATAGACCAGGGAACCTTATTAGCTCATGGCCTGGCAGCTGGGGGAGGTGGTAGTCATTGGAGGGGTGAAGCGTGCCTTAAAGCCAAATAGGCCCTAAGTGAAAACAGCAAAGATAACTTTAAAACTGTGATGCTTTTTTTATGACTAAAGAAATGTTTTGAAGTCTTCAACCAGTATTCAAAAATGGAAATTGATATCAATTACTATTGTAAGATAAATAATTTTCAGACTAAGCCTAAGTTTTTACTAAATTTCTCTTTGTTTTTCTTGTAGGCAATGGCAGAATTAGAAAATGTAAAATCAGAGTCAGAACTATTAAAAAAACAACTGACAAGTGAGAGACAGACCATTAAAAATCTTGAATCGTTGTTAGCTACGAACAGAGATAAGGAATTTCATTCCCATCTGACCTCCCATGAGAAGGACACAGAAATCCAGCTGCTGAAAGAGAAGTTAACCCTCTCAGAAAGCAAATTGTAAGTGTCATGGAGCAACCTGTGTGGGGCAGTGCTGTGGTAGGGAGGACACTGTGGGAGGGTGATACAAAATCCCCGGACCTGGCTTTCTTGCCTGGTGCTGCTGGACATCTGAAGAATGAAGCTGTAGATGTGTACATCCTCCCCACCTCCAGGTGGCACTGTGGGAGTGAGAGGGGAAGAGTGAGCTTCAGGGAAGAACCTGGATTTGAGGAGTAAGCAGAGCTCCAGAGGGTCAGGTTGAGCTGTGTTATAGATGGACAAAGGCTTAGAGCAGGTGACATCTGGTCCTCATAAGTGGCCATCACCATGGATGAGAATGGGCTTTTTACAGGGACTTGGGGAATGGAAAACAGTGTTCCTCCAGGGATAAGAGGCAAGGAAGGACCAATTTACATCTCTGTTCTAGTTCGTGTTCTGCTGCATGTGCAGCATATGCCACCAGCTCCATGACTGACAATAACCCAAAGAATGCCAAAGAAGCCGGAAGTTGAGAGGGTCACTGTTGAAAAGCCAGAGAGCCTTGTCTGTTCTTAAGCAGCACCTCTGTTTATATTTGCTCTTGACCTCCAAAACAGACTGTTCATTTCTATTCCTGAGATCTTTACCTTTGTTTTTAAGAACTACCCAGAGCCGAGAAACCTCCATGCTACGAGCTAAAGTGACACAATTTCAGGCAGATTATGAAAATCTGAAAAGGCAGATTTCAAACGAGAGATATGAACGGTAAGACATTTCTGTTTAACACTAAACAGTATTCCTACATATCTTCTATCCTATTCAAAGAGATTTAATATGGCTTGCAAATAGCGAGCTTCTTTAGTATTAAGATATAAGATAAATTTCTTGGCTAATTCTCCCATGGAGCTAAAGATTCTGTAAGAGATAGCATCCCTGCAGTAAGGAAAATAACTCTGTTATAGGACTGCTTTTTGCAGCATTCTACGGGGTGACAGTGAGGTGTAGATGGGGAGATAGCAAAGGTCCCTGCAAGAGGCCCCAAATACAGTGCATTCGGAAGCCTTGAATGCATTTCAGAGATGCTGCTGCTGATCGTATCCTAGGAGCAGCTAGCAGGTGTGAGCTGTACACCCAGCATGCCTACATGATAGGAAACTGGAGTCACACTTGTACATGACAGAGCCACTGTTAAAATACAAACATACCTGTTTATATAGCCCTTAACCTCTATAATATATTCCCTGCTCCTTAGTCATTTTCATGCTCATAGTTCAGTTCATTTGCTTTAGGTTAAAACATTGAGTCCCTAAATATTGCAGAGACGTAACCTGCTTTATCAGGTAAACCACGTCAGATGTAGTGGTGTGTACCTGTGTCCCAGCATACAGGAGACTGAGGCAGAGGGATCAGGAGTTTAAGGCTAGCGTGGGAGACCAGTGTCCAAAAAGAAATGAATTAAAATCAGTCTACTTTTCAAGTCAACAGCCAAGTTATATTTCTCTGTTGTTCTTTCTGAGACACCTGGGATTTGTTCTCAAGAGGCTAAAATTGCCTATTAGATCGTTTAAAAAAAATTAATCCTACTCCATTTGCATCAAACTTAAGTGATACGCTGTGTGGAGTGTCAGGGGTTTGCTGCTAAGTCAGTGGTTATGACTTCAAATAGAAATGAATTTTATTGTAGCAGTGGTATGAAAGCTGTGGTGATTTTTTTTTTTTGAAATTTAGAAAATAGAGTGCTAAACTGTATATAATTATTTGTCTTTCTTAATGATAAGTACACTTTTCTGTAATCCTAAGACCCTCCGTCATGCTCTGAATGGCCCAGAGTTAAAGATCCATCCCCTTTCCTTAGCCCTGGGCCTCAGAGAAGCCGAGGGCCTTGAGAACACATCTTCCCTGCTCTTTACTGTCAAACTAAGTGAAGTTCTCTCATGGGCACTATCAGCCAACCTCAAGACAAAACCTGCTTCTTGTGGGTGGGAAGAGGCAGCAAAATAATTTAGGTAGTCCAGTGCTTAATCCCTCAGAGACCACAGTACACGAGCAGGGTTCTGCATGTTCATTCTCATTTCTTAGAGCGAGGGAGAAATCTGGAGAGAGAAAGTCTTCTGAACTGTTATTGATGTGGTAATATTGAGAACAGGAAAGGTTTGAGGAACTGTGCTAAGAAGGAAAGTTGTATTGAGTAACTCAAGAAAAGGCCCACGCCAGAGACTGAGGAGCCACAGAGGAAACAGTGGGCACTGGCAGATTCTAGACAGGAAAGAATGTGATGAGAAAGTGGGCTCTTTTGTCTCCGATGTTTGGGAGATTGGAGCACAGAGAAGCCTAGAGTTATGTGTAAAGAGAGATGAGAAAGGGGGTGGGGTGGGGCAGAGGAAGGAAACATCCAAAATGAAAGCTCTGTACTCAGCCTGGGACTGCAGTGACAAGTTAGTGACATAAAACTGTTATGTGATTGCTCCATACATAGACTTCTAAATAACTGCTTTTGAGTTGATACATCCATGCGCACACACACACACACACACACACACACACACACACACACACACAAGAATGAATATAAATAATAAGTGTCAGGAATGATGGTACACACCTGTAATCCTCAAACTCAGTAGGCTGAGGCAGGAGGATTGTGAGCTTGAGGCCAGCTTGCCCTACATAGCAAAACCCTATCTCAAGAAGTGGGTAAGAAATGTGTAACTGCAGGGGCAGAAGCAAGTGTAGAATTGTATTGACTTATTGGAGGATGAGTTTCCCCTCAGCTGGAATCAGTAAGGACTTTGTAAACCATGCTCTGGAGAACAGCACTGATGTGAGAATAGGCAGGGGCAGAGGTCCAGTAAGAACCAAGACTTAGAGTGAGGGTAGAAGGGGAACCAGGAAGGGACGGGTGAAACCGGGGTGCCTAACTCTACCAAAGGCCACAGAAGGCGTCCAAAAGGAGAGGGAACTGCCTGTTAACAGATAAACAGTTAAAACAGAGAGAAAAAAGTAAGCTGTCCCACAATCACTATTAGTATTGTTAGTTTATCATCTAGTTGTATGTTGGTTTTTGCTTTTGTTTGCTTTGGTTTGATTTTTGAGGACATGGTCTCTCTCCTTCTAAGCCTCTGCCACCCAAGTGCTGGCTTTATAGGTATGTACCACCGTGGCTGGCTTATGGGGATTTGTATGTTTCTGAATGTATACTTGGTATCCTATTTTTTTAAAAAAAAATATATTGTGATCATTATGCTTCGAATATACTATTTTGTTGATGTCCTAATGTTATGACTTGGCTGTAGCATAATTGCTTTGAACAATTTTTTCTAATGCATATTCTTTTAATTGAAATATTTTCTATACTCCTGGATGGGGGGGGGGGTACCCTGCAAATTGGGGCTGGAAAGATGGCCCAGTGGTTATGAGCACCGGCTGCTTGGCCCAGAGTCATCTGTAACTAACCCTTTTCTGGTCTCCACAGGCACCAGGCATCTGTGTTGTGCATAGACAAGCATGCAGGCAAAGCACCCATACACATGAAATAAAAACAAATATATTTTTTTTCAATCCTGCAGATTTGGTAAAAGTATATAAGGCTAAGCCAGGCATCCTCTCCATTTGTAATCCCAGCTTCTTGGGAAGACTGAGGCAGGAGAATCACTTGAGTCTGAGTCTAGGATAGTAACATGGGTAACATAGTAAGTCCCCATTTCAAAGACAAAACAAAACAAATAAATAAAAGTGGTAGAAATGCTAATTCCATTAGTAGGTGTTATTTAATTGACTAATAACCCAATAGCCATTTTTAGGGTTTTTTTTTTTTTTAATTAATTTGTTTTTTACATTCCAATTCCAGTTCCCCTTCCCTCCTCTCCTCCCACTCCCCCCACTTCCCCACTCATCTGCTCCATGGAGAGGGTAAGGCCTCCCCTAGGAAATCTCATCTAGTTAAGGCAGGACCAAGGCACTCCCCATACCCCTGTATCTAGGCTGGGCAAGATATCTCTCCACATAGAATGGGCTCCACTAAGTCAGTTTGTGCATTACTATAAAATCTTGGTCCTACTGCCAGTGGCCTCATATATTGTCCCAGCCACACCATTGCCACCTATATCAAGGGAGTCTAGTTTGGATCTTATACAGGTTTTCCACTTGTCAGACCTGAGTCAAATCTCTCACTAGCTCAGGTCAGCTGATTCTGTGGCTTTCCCCATCATGGTCTTGACTCCTTTGTTCATATTATCACTCCTCCCTCACTTTGATTATACTCCAGGAGCTTGCATTGGTTAGTTGTGGATTTCTGCATCTGCTTCCATCTGATTCTGGAAGAGGGTTCTAGCTTCTCTGGGGTTATGGATTGTAGGCTGGGTATCTTTTGCTTTATGTCTGGTAGCCACTTATGGGTGAGTACATACTATATTTGTCTTTCTTGTTTTGTGTTGCCTTACTTAGGATGGTTTTTTTCTAGTTCTGTCCATTTGCCTGTGAATTTTAGGATGTCTTTGTTTCTTACCACTAAGTAGTACTCCATTGTGTAAATATACCACATTTTCTTATCCATTCTTCAGTTGAGGGGCATCTAAGATCTGGCTATTACAAATAATGTTGCTATGAACATAGTTGAACAAATGCCCTTGTGGTGTGAATGTGCTTCCTTTGGGTACATGCCCAACAGTGGTATTGCAGGGTCTTGAGGTAGGTTGATCCCTGATTTTCTAAGTTCGCCACACTGATTTCCACAGCAGCTGTACAAGTTTGCACTCCCACCAGCAATGGAGGAGTGTTCCCCTTTCTCCACATCCTCTCCAGCATAAGCTGTCATTGGTGTTTTTTATCTTGGTCATTGTGATTGGTGTAAGATGGAATCTCAGAGTGGTTTTGATTTGCATTTTCCTGATGACTAAGGATGTTGAATATTTCCCTAATTGTCTTTCTGCCATTTGAGATTATTCTGTTAAGAATTCTTTATTTTTTAATTGGATTATTTGGTAGTTTGATTTCTAGTTTCTTGAGTTCTTTGTATATTTTGGAGATCAGTCCTCTGTCAGATGTGGGGTTGGTGAAGATCTTTTCCATTCTGTAAGGACACTTTTTGGGTTTTGATAGTGCTTACATATAATCTCTTCTATGATCTTCACCAACAGAGAGCGAGCAATCCAAGAGATGCGCCGACATGGTCTTCCTACATCACCTCTGAGTTCTACTCTGAGATCTCCTGTACATTCTCCTGAACATATAAATGCATAGTTATCAGGAAGGTATGTATCATATACTAAAGACAAGCAAAGTTGTTCTGTAGTTGTAAAAATTTTGGAATTATTGCCCCTATCAGGGAAAAAGAAATGGCTTGGGAAGGTGTTCAGGAGAACTTCTTGAAGCAACAGAGATGTTCTATGTGTTGGTGGCATGACAGCCGATACATGGTAGGTGTAGTTGTAAACGTTTATCAACTGAGCATGTGATCCATGTATTTCTCTCTGTGTCTATTTTATCCAGCTAAAAGGGGAAGGGTTAGGAATGTGGGTCTTTAAAGGAGCACTTGCCCTGCATGCAGAAATCTTGATTCATTCTTAGCCCTGAAGAGGAGTTGGAATCAAAGCCATAGGAAATTGCTAAGAATTGAGATATCACAGGATGATATTAATCAAGTACCAAATTCAGTGTACAAATAATAGCTGATGGAAGATGGAAAGACAGACCGGAGAGACACAGTGCACTCAGCTTGGCAGGAATGGCAGGCTGTAGGGGAATAATGTGGGAGGAGAATGGTTTGAAAGGTAGGGTGGGAATACACAGTATGTGGAGGTGAGATACATGCATGCAAGTGTAGACTTCACTCTAACTCAGCAGGGGCCTGAGTCTTTCCTGACTGAGGGGTGGATACAGATGGTTGACTGAAGACTTGTCTGTGGTAGATCTCCCTCACCGCTGTGTCTGAGCCACACAGAAAATGTAGGGGCCAGACAAAAGGAGCAATAGGAATGAGTTCAGAAAGCTGTGTTCCCACTTCTTAGGAGGTGAAAGCAGGAAGGTCAGGAGTTCAAGGTCATCCTCAGCTACATAGTCAGTTTGAAGCCAACCTAGGCTACATGAGACCCTGCCTCAGACAGACAGACAGGCAGGCAGGCAGGCAGACAGACAGACAGACAGACAGACAGTCAGTCAGTCAAGAAACGGTACCGTATCCGAGGTATGTAGCTCACTGGGAGTAAACTGAACACAGCTGTCTGACATGCACCAAGACAGAGAAAACAGGCCCCCTGGCTCTAGCTGCAAGCTCCGCTTTCCTTTGATTTTGGATTTTGTCATTGCAATTGTACATTTCTGGCTTCTTATTCTCAGTGGTGCATTTATGAGATCGAGCTCTGTGCTTGACAGGCATATGATAGCTGTTAGGAAGTGTCCTGAGTATAGACTTAGGACTGAAATTGCTGAGGTCACTTAGTGGGCAAGCTTCCGTAAACATGAGGATCTGATCCCAAGAAGGTGATGTTGGGATATCTTCGGCTGAGGTGGGGTTGAAGGGATGTACTTATACCCTGGAAAATAGGACAGAAGCCTGAGTCAGACCCTGGCTTTGACAGATACTGACTGAAGAATGCAGACTCACTGACAGAAATGGCTGAGTCAGTTTCTTTAAAGTGATGCATTTCCTTGCCTCTTTTAATAGAAGAGCTGTGTGTCGAAGATAATTAGCATTTCCTCAGAGACTCAAAGTCTCATAACAAACAATAGTTGCTGTGTGCTTCCACAAACTGAGGCCAGTGTTTAGGGTCCTGGGCTAAGGATGCCTGATAGCTACTTTTTGCCATGATGTTTACATTCTTACAACACTTACTTTTCTCTTTCACCTTGAGTCATTGCATCCTTACATCTGGTATGGATCTCGTAAGGTACCTGGTTATTTTGAGGATGCTTAAGAACCAGTTAACTTTTGTTAACAAACCCTCAGAATAAGTTAAAAGACACTTTTCCACATTAGTCTCTGGTGGTTTAGCTCTTCAGGTGGCCAAGTAGGATGTTTAGCCAATAGTCCCTGTCTCTCTAAATAAAATTAAACTTTATTGTTTACATACTGCCCAGGACAACCACTTGTCTACACAAGCAAAGCTGGGTGTTTGTGATGTACCTGTAGCTTCTCCCATCAGGTAGCCTCTAAAAAACTCAGCTGTAACCCATGGATGGGAGCCAGTAAAATGACAAATAATTCATTGGTATTATTTGTAAAAGGCTTGACTTTGTAGATTCCCTAAAAAAAAATTCCTGGGGACTCAGAGCTATCTTGGACTTCTTAGGAGCCACCGATAACAGGGCTGGGGACCCCCCCCCCCCCCCGTGATCAACAAGTGCATGTGTACATGCAGGTGTGCTGTGCGGCCCGTATGTGAATGTGTAAAGTCTAGAAGTCAATGCTGGGTGTCTCCCTCCATTGCCTTCCACCCTACTTTTCCAGTCAAGGCCTCTCATTGGACCCTGAGCTCATCACTTCGGTTAGATTGGTTGGCCAGCCCGATTCCATCTTTCCTTGCCTGCCCCCAGCTCTGGGGTTACTCAGGGGCCAGCTCTTGTGTGGGTGCTAGAGATCTGAACTCTGCCCCTCCTCTTTCACAGCAGGCACTTTACCTGCTAGCTCACCTCTGTAGGGCATGTTTCACAGAGAGCTGCTTCCTACCCTCAGCACTGCCTAGGCTCTGGTTTCCACACCCTTACCACCACTCACTTCCATTTCCAGACTTACAACCTTCCCAGCCCATGTACATTAGAATCCTTTACAGCTGTTAACAGACTCACAACTTTTAATTTTCTAATAATTGACAATTCTTAGTGTTGCAACATGTTTATCAACCAGTAATCCATTTGTGTAGATATTTCTGGGTAATGTTGCTAAAACTAATTTTAAAGGATTTCTCCAATGAGCACTCAGAAACAAATTACACACACATGCAATGGTTTCTCAGATTAGTGTCTCTCTAGTAATGAAAATATATAACCCATTTTTTGCTCTTATTTTCTTTTTATTAACATCACCCAGATAGGAGAGCATGTTTTTCCTACTACCACACACCCAGCACAACCCACCAACTAGTTGTCCTAAAATTTCAGTACACTCTTTAAACTGCTCTGTCTGAAGACAGTGTCAGATCCCATTGGTAAGGGGTCAGTCAACAAGGGTCCTCCCTCCTCGGGTGCCAAGTACACCCCAGGTGAGTGTGCCTCTGGCCCACCTGCTGTTAAACCTAGGGTCCCGTAGGTTTTCCTCCCAGGTTTGATTGAATTTGCCAGGGGCGCACACTTTACTACAACGATACCAATGAATTTCCGGACAAACACAGGGTACAAGCTTCCGTTCCATCTCCAAGCACAGCTTCCACGTGTCCATCTCTCTGGAAGGCCTCTAGCCCACAGAGACTCGAGTACCTGGCGTAAGAAACTGACCCGTCATTGGTGACTGGGCCCTTGACCTTCTCCTCTATCCAACCTCACCTTCCTGGTGAGCAGCTCTCCCCTAATTGGTCCTCTCATGTGCATCCCAGAGTCACTCTTACTGCTCAAATTCTTCCTGGGAGCCTTGTGCCAGGTACAAGGGGCAGAGACCAAGTATGTAGTTCTTTAATCACAGTTGTGAGGACTCAGGCATTACGCTGGCCTGCCCCTGTCACCTGGCAGAACGCACCCAGGCAGTACCCTGGTCAGCCCAGGTGCAAAGGACCCTTTAAAAGACAGACCTGGCATGTACCCCCTCTTTCCTCTTACTTTTCCGCTTGTTTCCCCCAGGGCAGACAGGACTTTTCCTTTTTCCCTCTTCTCATCTGTCCTCTCTCTGTCTCTTTACCTCTTTTCTTTTTCCTTCTCCCTCCCTTGCCTTTGTAATAAAACTTTTCACTTAAGCTCTGGCTGCCTGGTGTGTTCGTCTCCCCCTCGGCGTCCTCAGTCACCTTTGCAAGGTCCCCTGGAGCTTTATCGTAACAAGGGTGGCAACAGGCATGCTGAGGGACCCTGTGAGTAAGCAACCCCAAATCACGTTTTTATTGCTTTTGTCTTCATGTGTCCAACGCACTTCAAGAAGTAGACTGGTGCTTCTTAAATATGATGAGATTTGGGAAGCAAGTTTTATGAGAGGCTGTAATTTAAAACACTGTTGAATTAAGTTTTTATTAATATATTGAACAACTGTATCATTTTTCTCTTCATTCGCTTCTCAGGTGATGGTTTTCAGTGAGTTTCCACGTGGATTTTTATAAGAGCACAAAAGTAATGAGATATTTGAAGTACTTGTTCCTGCGAATCATGAACAGTGACACAAATTCTACCTCTGTCAACCTTTATTTAAATCAGTGGATATTTATGTAAAAATGTTTAGTTTAAAAGAGCCCTACATGTATATTTTCATATATGTGAAAAAACAAAATATGTATTAATAGTACTTAACTGACATGATATGTGTATTTTTATTATTCCCAACTAAAATTACTCCTTAAAGTGTGTTTATACTGTGAATTAATTTAATATACTCACACTATGCTTTAATAATGTTTCTTAATGAGAAATAATATAAGCATGTAAATATCCTTCCATTATTTAGGTGTGTTTGGTTTTCACACCTGTGTGTAAGCCCATAGCATGATGGACTAAGAGCATGATCCATTTGAAGCTTTTCTCTTATGTAGCATCCATCCACATTTGCTGTCTATCATCCAGGGGACTACATTTGAATATAGTCTTAACAGCAGAACTCTATGTTAATAAAAGAATGTATTTAAACTTATGGTTCCAGAGGGAGAGAGTCTATCGGGAAGCATGGCAGCAAGTGGCAAGCATAGCAGTAGGAGCAGGAAACTGAGTAGCCATGTCTCTACCACAGCACAAAGCCAAGAGTGAACAGGAAGTAAGGAGAAACTGTGTGCTCTGAAAACCCTTCCCCCAGAGACATAATTTCTCCAGTAGGTCTGCTCCTCCTAAACATCCCCAAACAGCACTACCACCACCACCCCACCCCAGCTAGGCCCAAGTGTTCAAGTATCTCAGCCTGTGGGGTACATTTATTTCTTGTTTAAACTGTCACATTTTGTAAAACAAGAAGTTTGATACCATTTCTCTTTTTTCCTGAGATGTTTTTGTTATTTCTGAACATTCAGAGCTACTGAGGACAGTAAGTTTAGCTACTTGTTTGAAATTTATTTATATTACCAGCAACTTTAAAAATATTTCCCTGGATATAGAGCCCTAACCAATAGGATATTTCTTTCATTGATCCTTTTAAAAATAACTTTTATGTGCCTTGTGACCTCACTAGCAGAACGCTTGATAAAGTAGTTATTGCCATGTGTAATTAACTGTTGAAGTCTGGAAGAACTGTGGTTGAAGAGATAGCATTTGTCTATGATAAACGTGTTATTTTGGCTGTTATTTGGGCGCTTCACATGATACAGTATTTTATTGGAATTAAGTTAAAATATATTCAGAGTTTTGTAAGATAATAAAATGGAAATTTGGGGCATTTTTCACCTAATTAGATTCTTCAGTATACTAGTCTAAAATTTCAGAATAGAAAGTACATAATGTAAACATAAAAAAATCATTAACAGTCCAATATGCATCTGACAATACCTACTTGTGGCCTCTAACCTCGTATAACTCAGCCCAGTCTTTGAGAATAGTATATAAACACCTCAGGCATATAAATTGAAAACAGCTTTTCAGAAATTCATTTTCAAGGTTATCATTTTAAAGAACTTAGATGTATGCAAACATTAAGGAAAGAACAGAAGTACAAAATAGAATGTAAGATACAGATACTAATCATGTTTCAACTATTCACATTTGAAGAAAATCCTCTTTTCAAACTAGATTTCATTGGGATCAAGAAAGGATTTAAAAGTCAGCATAGACAAGTGAAAGATCAACTATGAAATGTATGTTTCCTCTTGAATTAATAATTCTTGTGTGCATGTCCCTGGAGATAGGTAGTGCTCTTCGTCTGACTATTGTGCCTTGGATGTTCAGGATGTGCCCTTTGTAATTATATGCTGCATATTTGACAACTTATTTTCCCACCATCTTTGGGATTTATTCATTCTATCTCCTTTGAGTAAATTCATATTTTATAGCAAAATTCCAAAGAGAGGGACATTTGCAATGTCATTTGGAAAATCTCTTAGTAAATGCACATAAAAAAATATTCATCCACATCTTTTCCCCTAAAGCAGCAGCAAGGTAAACTTTGTTAATGTTCATTTTTAATGTTTTCTGTAATTATAAATGTCATATTCATAATTGTTATTTTATAACCATCATACTACAGTCTTTTTAAATTATTTTAATTTAAAATACCATGTTCCTTTTGTAGATATTTTTACTTTTAAATAACTTTAAATCATGGAGCTTGACTATGGATTTACCAATAAACATACCAGTCAATTTGCTTTCTCTTTCCAGTATGTTTTATAATTTTATATTAGTAATAATCTTAATTCTAAAAGTAAGTAAAATTTACTCAACTGAAACTTCACAATGATGAAACTTGGGGGAAATCTGTCATCTTAGGTGCCAGCCACCTTTTTAAATAACTCATTTATTTCCAGTTAGTTCAAAAATATAAGAATTTAAATCAGAGTTCCTTCTGGGTGCCCTGTGAACAAAATGCATTGAGGTGTGCCTATAGTTATACAGTCTTCTCTCTGTAAACACTTTATTGACAGTTACCGACTCTGTGCCATCTGTCTTCCCACCTCCTTGCACTTTATCACACACCTAATAACCTTCTCCCCCATGTAAAAGATCCTACCACTTGGTGTAGGCGGTGGAGGTTTTTGTTTATGCTATAACAAATAAAGCTTGTCTGAAGATCAGAGTGCAGAGCTAGCTACACTAGGCAGCTATAGAGGCCAGGCAGTGGTGGCACACACCTTTAATCCTAGTGATCAGGAGACAGGCAGGCAGATCTCTGTTGCATCAAGGCCACCCTGGGCTACACGAAATTGATCCAGCCCAAAAGAGAAACAGCTCACACAAAGGTGATCCCAGCACTTGGGATCACATGACTTTAATCCTAGCACTAAAGAGGTGGAGAAAGGAGTGATGTGGCAGGATGGAGAGAGGAGGAATATAAGGTGAGAGGAGATAGGAACTCAAGGCAGTCCTAAGCAGCAGTCCAGGTAGTCAGTCTGAGGACAGGATCTCCCCTTTGGTCAGAGCACTGGTAGAAGTAAGAACTGCTCTGCTTCTCTGATCGGCTTTCACCCGATAGCTGACGCCGGTTATTAGTAAGACCTGTTAGAACTCGTGCTACAGAATGGCGAACTGTCTGTCTTTCTACTGTTGGCTTTTTCTAGCATCAGTCTTTTTATGTCCAACCTACACATGAGCTCCTGCACTGCAGCAAATAGGTGGGAGTTTCCATGACTAGGGCAGTCTTGCACTTGACCAGGCTTACAGGACTAAGCATGAATTAACTCCCGTGGACAGGGGCTGAAATATAAGCAGAAAGTGATTGGCTACCCCCATAATGGCCATGCTCCTGTATCTGTGGGCACATCATGCCTGATGGAGTGAGACTATTGATGGCAATTCTTCCTCAAGGGCCTGCATAGCATTTTTCACCCTAGCCCATTGAATTAGGTATGTTGTTTTCTCATGTTCATTCAGGTCTAGGAATGTTTTCTCTTACTGTGTCGACTTTGTGCTCATAATTCTCTTGCTGATGATTGGTAGTGTTATTCCATTGTGATCAGCTGTAATTTAAGGACTTATTTTAATTTCCTGTGTCTATTAAGATGTGCTGTTTGTCCTACTATATAATCTACTTTAGAGAAAGGCCCATGGCTTGATCAGCCTCTTCCTGAAGCCTATGTTTCCTGGACTAGTCAGTGATAGTGGTTCTCAACCTGCTTCTGGAAGCAGCTTTTTCTACCCTTCCTCCCATCTGGAGCTGAGCAGCTGAAACTTCTGTTCTTTCTTTCCTATTAAAAATATTCACTGTGCTGGAAGGAGATAACAAAGAAGCAGATTAATTCAGTTCAGGAGTTGGAGAGAAAAGTCATCCATATAATGTCAAAAGATGGTGGAATGGAGAAATTCAGCAGTGTAGATGGTGTGGTAGTTTAAACGTAATCAGGCCCGGAAACTAACAGGAAGTAGTAGCACTGTTAGGTGTGGCCTTGTTGAAGGAAGTGTGTCACTGTGAGGTTGAGCTTTGAGGTGTCCTATGCTCAAGCTCAGTGTGATACACAGTCCACTTTCTGTTGCCCTCTGATTAAGATGAAGCCAGCACCATGTCTGCCTGCATGCTGCCGTTCTCTCCATCATGATGATAATGGACAGAACCTCTGAAACCTCTGAAAAAGAACCACCACAATTAAATGTTTTCCTTATGAGAGTTGCGGTAGTCATGGTGTCACTCCACAGTAATTTGTTAATCACAGCATTAGATGTCCTAACTAAGAAAAAGTAAAGGCAATATAGAAGAAAAGTTGAGCAAATGAAAAACAAGCAAGTATGAGCATGTTTAGACCTCTGGGATATATTCAAAAGACCAAACATAAGAATCTGAGAATATAGGAAGGAGCAGAGTTAAACAATAAAGTCCTGGAGAACATAGTATCTGTGAAAATAGTAGGAGAAAAAGTAGAGGGATTGAATAAAATGTCCTGCTTGAAGCCTTAGCTAGATCAACAAGACAAAGAAACGGGATGCAAATAGGAAAGGAAGAAGTCAAATCCCTATTTGCAAACAATGTAATCCTATCCTTAGAAACCCTGAAGACTCCAGAGAATTTAGCTCTGAGAATACTCAGGGAAGCAGCCAGGTACAGATTTTACATATAAACCATGGCTTGTGGTGCCTTTTATTATCTGATGATTTTCCTGTCCTACTTTGAAGAGAGATGGAGTGAGTGGGACCTATGAATGCCAAAGTAGCCAAAGCACCTGAAAGGATTAGAGGAAACTGAAGGGGCAGCATTTGTAAAAATATATAAAGAACTCCAAATATTCAACACCTCAAACCAAAATCCATCAATAAATACGCTAGTGAATTGAATAGTCAGTTCACAAAAGAGGAAGTATAAATGCAATATACACTTGAAAAAATGCTCAGCATCCTTAGCCATCAAGGAAATGTGAAGTTAACACTGCCCTGAGACTCCAGTTGGTCCCAGTCAGCATAGCTATCAGGAAAACATTGACAGTGCTGGTGAGGCGTGGGAGGGGACAACTTCTTACACACTGCTGCTGCTGGGAATGTGGGCAGCTACTATGGACATCAGTGTGGAGCGTCTCAAAAAAACTAAGATGAGAGAATGACATTTGACCAAACTGTATTCCTGGGCATATTCCTGAAGGACTCTTAGTAAGTTTACCACAAAATGTACATCCATGCTTACGGCTGCTCTACTGACAAAAGGCAGGATGTGGAACCAACCTTGATGTCCGTCAGTGATTAGCAAATAATAAAAACATATATATATACATATATATGCATATATATATCCCATAAATATACATATATATACATATATATATCCCATAAATTGACATCATAGTTGAAAAAGTTGGGTCAATCTAAAAATTATATTAAACAGAGTGAAACTCAAACAAGTACATATTTTCTTTCATGTACAGAATCTACATTTAAAATGACATATTTCTA